TATGCTACACTGCCTTCATGATTTCAGGTGATACTGCTCCGTTTTGTTTGTATCCGTAAGCTTTAAAAAGATGTGCACAAATATGACAAAATGAAAGCAGAGTATGGACGTCTCCGCATATAACGCTGTGCATGAATGATTTGGAGGCATCTAGCGGTGACGATTACAGATTACAACCAGCTGAAACCTCTCCTGGTTAGAATTCCTTTAATGTTCATTGTTCAGCTGTTTTTTACAGAGAGCCAGACTTTCCGCAGAGCTCTCCTCCTCCCCAAAACAAATGGTGATTTAACCTGGTAAAAACACAGAATAAAGCAGGTTCACATTACAAGTCAGTGTTTCTCCAATGCTGCTTTAGCAGGTTTTAGGCTGTGTTAATCTATTAAATCTAATAACTTAAGATCCAGACTTTCAGGAGATTTTTACCTTGAGCCGAACCATCCACAGAGGTCTCTTCCTTTTAACAGACCCAGTGAATGAAACCACTAAAAACACTGAATAAAGCAGTTTAACTTTAAAAAGTTGGGGTTTTTCTGGTGCTCTTATCGTGGAAGGGCTGCTAACTACAGTGGCTGATGGGAAAACATGAATGGTCTTGATGGTTTCATGAAAAATGAAACATCATGGAGGCAGGATGGTAAACGAGTCTGGTTTCCTTCAGTTGATCAGTAAGACTGAGAAGAAAGTTACACATTTCCGTGAGGGCAGTGATGACACAACATGACACGGTTAAAGTGCTGGAACTCAGAATAAAGTGAGCCCAATTAAAAGGAAAACGGACCAGTAGTGAGGGGGGTCTGCACCACTTCACCTGCATCATGCGTGGACGGGGGACAACAATATTGTGGTAGAGTTGCTTTCAATACTACACATGGAGTTAAACATTAGCAGAGTACGACACTGATGTTTGGTTTAAATTCAGCAAAGATTTACCCAACTGAAGGCCTCTGGGTCTGTGACTTATCTCAACTAAAACAAATGACAGATTAATAAATGGAAATGTAGCAAGAAAACAATTAAAGACAAGGAAAAAATGTTTTAATTTAAATGTTTAGATTGCATGAAAATAGTTTTGTCTCAATATTATTTGTGTGAACAGATTGACAATCTGTGTTTATGTGTAATCTGTTAATATAAAAAACCTTTTAAAAAAATTATAATTATATAGATCTGCAAATACAAAAAAAAAAAAAAAAAATTAAAAAAAGATACAAAGACAAAACAAATCTTTAAGTACAGAATTGAGATTCACAAATAAAAAACCGGATTCACAAATATCTGTTTGAAAGTTGTAATTGTTGGGAAGATATTTGTAAACGCTTTTCATTTATTTGTGAATTGATTAAATGTATTCACTGATATTTTTTTTTGTGAAATTTGTTTGTGTACCTGCAGATCTGTTTTATATTTGCAAAATATTTTTATTTTATTTTAGCTCTTTTTGTATTTGAGAAAGGTGTTACATATTTACAGATCAACACAAGCATCATCAATCTGCCAACACAAATAATATTAATTAATGATTAAATAATACATTAATAATTAATAATGAAATATCTGACAAAAATAAAAAATAAAATACAAGTAAATAAGATTTTAGTATTTAAAATAAATATATTTTAAAAAATGAAATTATTTTATTTTTAAACTTCAATAAAGGGATATCTTAAATAAAAAAAAATTAATTTAGACGGGGAAATAAACTGTAAACATGTTTTAATGTGTGCATCTGTGTCTGTAACTCTGCTTGTAGTTCCTGCTGTGTCCACCAGATGGCGCCATTACACCAGACACCAGCAGCTGACAGGTAAAACTCACTCAGTGAACTTTTAAAGGTTTTTAAAAACTTTTTTTTATTATTAAAAAAATTAAAATTTCATATAACATTTTGTCCTTCACCACATCTCAGAGGGGAAAATATTACCATTTACCACTACATTAGACTCACAATTTTTACATTGATTATCAGCTAAATAAATAAAATGAAAGTGTGGAGAATAATTAATAAACTTTCAATTATATATAAAGTACATACATGTGTATCTATGTAAAAATAATGACAGATTATATATTTTTTCTTTATTCATCATCAGTAAACATACCTGGCAAAAAGAAGAATGAAATATAAATAAATACAGTAGAAAGTTTTTAATATTTAAAATGGATATGTTTAAAATAATAAAATAACATAATAATTAAAAAAAAAAGTCTACAATAAAGGGACTTAGTATTTAAGAATAAATACACTGAAATAAATGAAAAAGGGTTGGATTGGTATATTAGATAAATACATGTAGAGAAAAATAAACTGTAAACATGTTTTAATGTGTGTATCTGTGTCTGCAGCTCTGCTTGTAGTTCCTATGAAGTCCACCAGACGGCGCCATTACACCAGACACCAGCAGCTGACAGGTAAAACTCACTCAGTGAACTTTTAAAGGTTTTTAAAAACTTTTATTTCATTGATAACTAAAACGTGTATGACCTTCACCACATCTCAGAGGGGAATATTTTAATTTTATTCATACATAATATTCAATATTTTGATATTGACTGATTATCAGCAAAATGAATAAAATTATAGTGTGGACAATAACTAATAAACATTAATTTATTTATTTTTATTTTATTGAAGTACATACATGTGTAAATATGTATGATAATGTCGAATTATACTTCTCTTTCTAAATTCAATATAAGTCAACATATCCGGCAAAAAATAAAAATTAAATACAAACAAATTTAATATTTAAAATTAATATATCTTAAAGAATAAAAAACATGATAATAATAAAACAACTACAATAAAGGGATTTAGTATTTTAAAACGAAAACATTTGATTTAGTGGAAAAGGGCTGAATTTGTATATTAGATAAATACATTTAATTAAGAGGAAATTAGTTGTAAACATGTTTTAATGTGTGTATCTGTCTGCAGCTCTGCGTGTAGTTCCTACTGAAGTCCACCAGAGGGCGCCATTACCCCAGACACCAGCAGCTGACAGGTAAAACTCTGACACCCTCATCACATCTCAAAGCAAAATATATTGTTAGTGCTTCATTAGATTCAATATATTTAATTAGTGGATTATAGGTATTATATTTAAACCTATAAGTGTGTATAAAATAATAAAAAACAAAACAATACAATATTTTACAAATTTACTGTGTTAATGCGATATAATATAATATAATATAATATAATATAGTATAATATAATATTAACAAGACAATAGTTAATAAATAATTTTTCTCAAACTGACTTTGTTTAAGTAGCAAAAACAAAATTAAGGTATTTCTCATGTCTTCCTAAGATAACATATTCCAATAAAACAAAGTAGATTTTAAAAATAGAAAATAAAATTCATTTATTAATTTTTTGTAACCTCTTACCCTGTCAGGGGTCGCAGGGGGCTGGAGCCTATCCCAGCTGACATTGAGTGAGATGCGAGGTACACCCAGGACAGGTCACCAGACTATCACAGGGCTGACACATAGAGACAGACAACCATTCACACTCACATTCACACCTACGGACAATTTAGAGTCACCAATTAACCTAATTGCTGATTAATCTTTTTTTATTATTATTATTCACTCCACAAATGCTAATAGATGCAGAGAAATAGCACAAAATAAATGTATTAAATTAAATTAAAAAGGGTTTGATTGGTTTATTAGATTAATTATGATAAATACATTTCAATGAAAATGATGAAACAAGTGTGTGATTGCTCTCTCTCTCCATTCGACAAAATTAAATCAGCTAAAGGGATGTTGCTAGGCTTTATGAAGCCTGAATCACGCTCACTGCTCCCTTCCATTTGCTGAAAAAAGGGCTTGAACCCAGGATTGCTGCTTGCAGCTACATTATGTATTCATGCTTATTGGCAGGTTGGACATGTGTGCATATAAACCTCCTCCACACAAATACACACACAAAAAAAATTCAGTTTAAAATATTTTTTATTTATTAAGACAATGAAAAGTCTGATACAACCACACACGTTACTTCGTGCAGAGACACTTAAGGCATGAAAATCTCTCTGCTGGTTTGTCCAAAAACTGAACAGGCTGCCAATGAAACAAAAATTATGAAAAAGAATAATGAAAAGAAAATATGATTCAGTTTTAATTCAGCAGTTTAACTCAGTGACTTAAAGGAATAGTCCCACATTTTGGCAAAAAAAAAAAAACAACAAAAAACAAAAGATCGTCCACTCTCTTAAATGAGCAGATTATTACCACTCTGTCTGTTCCGCAGATATGAAGACAGAGCCAGGAGCTAGTTAGCTTATCTTAGCATAAAGAGTGGAAACACGGGAAACCGCAAGCCTGGCTGCACCCAAATAACAAAATCCAACAACGAACACAATCAAAACTCACCTATAAACATGGTATATCTCACATTAATTACAGAACAAATATGAGAATGGTAACCATCTCCTAATTCTCAGCAAGAGAGCAGAGAAGCAAATTTCCCAAAATGTTGAACTAGTCCTTTTAAAGGGAACAATAAAATCAAAATGAAGGGTGTTAAAACTTCCAAAACACTGGCTAGAAAACATTCACAATCATGAGCATTCTTGTATTCATTATTTAAAAGTTGCTGAAAAAAAATGAATTATAAAAACATTAATTTATGTGGGGATAAATTTTACAGCAAATGGTCATTTGAAATAGCCATATAATGTATGTTGATCTCCTCTCCCTCTTTAAATATGTGTCATTCTTATATAATATTTGTTCACAAATTATTTTTAACTGCTTTACAATCTCCTGCAAAATCCATCATTTGAACCATAAATAAAATAATCTGATAGGCAAGAGGAATATAAATGATCATTTCAAGATAAATTATAGAACTACCATGCTGTTATAAATAATTGTAAAATCACAAGTTATCTCACATCAGAAGCTGGACATGTAGCCAGCATGCGCGGGAAATTAAACCTGCAGTGGCTTTTTTGTTTTTACAACCTCTGGAGAAACATATTCTTCACAGTATTCAAAGAAAGGGATGTGAAATTCAAGAAAACACAGTCTGAGTGTGTTCATAACAAATACTGAACACACATTTTGGTGAGAGTAATACAAGAAGTCTTGTACGTTTTAAATACTATTAATGTCACATATAAGGCTGCTGCAACTCCAAAACATCCCTTCAAAAATATGGCCCACCAGAAACAAAAATATTTCACAATCATCGTTACTGTTATCCACCACAGTACCTTTATCACTTTTTTCAGAGTGCTAACATTAAAAAAAGGACACAGTTTTTAAATCTAAAGTGCTAAACAACCACACCTACACACTGAAAGGTTACTCTATGTGTTTGGTGTTGTTTATTTTATGTTCTCTTATAACTGAATGTGAAGGTAACTGATTGGTGGAGAGATTTATCATTTGGGATTTGACAGCTGCAGTTAGTCTGTTTGGACGTAATTCACCAGGCCAAAAAAAAAAGAAGACATTTTTAATTCACATTAAAGTGTCTTAAAAGTTAATTTTAAATGCACAACAGCAACAAACATGTTTTTGGCCAAAGCTGACATTTGTGAAGGACTGAACTTTCTCCTTAAATGTTTTTAAGGTGAAGATTCTTCATCGAAATTACACCACAAGAAATCTCTGTCCCTACGAAACAGAAACAAGGTCAGTGTAGTTTTGTCTTTTGTTGACTGTTTACGTCACGATTGTTTACTTTGTGTTCGGATGATGTCTTCTGCATGTGTTTAAACAGCAAAGCAGGTCACAAGACCACAAGGTGCAGACTTAAGAGGTGATTTATCAAGACAGAAAACTAGATCCACAAATTGGTGCTTGGTTTGCAGACACCGCCGAGTTATTACTGCTTAGATTTGCTATTCAGTGAAATGATTAATTTGTTTTACACCAGAAAATTAAATGTAAAAAGGTTTTGCATTCTACTAATGCTAACAGACGCAGCTTTGGCTGGGTAAAGTGCAGCTACAGAGAAAGACATACTACCATGTGTGCAAAAGGCATCATCTGAATTCACAGTTGAACTTCAATCACGATCCAAGTTCATTCTTTTATGCACTTAATTAAAGCACTTATTTACGGCGGCCCTGAAAGCTCATTACACTGCGACTGAAGAAAGCATATAGCTAAAACACCATCAAATAAAGGAGAGCATGCCTCATACATGTGCAGCACAACAAAACAGATTTGTTAATGTGTATCTTAATTTGTCTGTTGTGTTTTCTTAAGTTGCAGTATATTGAGCTCTCAGGGCCACCGTACTTTCTGTCTCTTCAGGGTCACATTTGGCTGGAATTCATCACTAAAAACAAAGGCAAGAAAACACACAAGAAATGCAAACATAAAAAGGCAGTAACTTGCACACATTCACACTGTTCTGCAATTTAGAGACTCCATTCACCAGATCTGACTTGTCTTTGGAGTGCAGAGGAAAACAAAAAAACAAAAAAACCCTCCTCAAGCAAAGAGCTGCAGATCTTACTGGAGTTTTCAAACTGGCTGATCATGACTAGTTAACTATGGAGAAGAAGCTTTGCTTGGAGAAAACAATGATGGCACATTTAATGTAGATCATTACATTTGTGCAAACTTTGGCATCTGAAGCTCGCTGTGAGTATACTGTAAAGGATAACTGGCTTCAGGAACCTTCGAGAAACACCGTTTATCAGACTGGTTTCTTCCTCAGCTACACTCACACCTCGCTGCTAACAACCTCAAACACAAGAAGCCGACAGGAAGAGGGACAGAGTTCTTCCTTTTACCTAAAGGCCTGGAAGAAGTTCCCAAGGAAAGATAAAGTGAGGCAAGCTCTTGAGTATGTGGAAAAGGCAGAAAATACAGACTTGATTTCAATGACTTATCAAAATGCCACAAAAACAAACTTCAGAAGACACCACGACCTCCAAAATTGAACATTTCCTGCACATTCTCTGGTCCATTTAAAGCAGTGAACAATCAGTCCAGTTATTCATACTGTACCAGGGAGCTGCCGACTACAATCAGAGTCTGGATGCCACAAAGGAAACCCAGGTTAAACTCAACTTTCACTCACTTTGTTCACAGATTTTTCCAGGATTTGATCCTCGGGTCACACTCCTTCCAGACTCCAAGGCTTCAGTCATCTCCCAGAAAGTATCCATATTGTATGAATGTGGCTACCGCAGCAGGTCACATACTATACTCACTATGTCTCAGGTTCAGGTCTTTCCTGCTGTGTTTTCTGTCTCTCCAGTGTGTTCTGTGCAAAGGAAACACTTTAAGACAGCCTTCAGGAAAAAAAAGTATTATGATTCCAAAGTGCATGTGTTTGGCAATCAGCTGACTTCAGAGAAAAAAGTACATAAAGGACAATCTTTGAGGAGATCAAACGTCTGTCAGTTCATCCTCTGTTTAATAGAGATGACGTCAATATCTCGACTGGATGCAGTCACTGTCTCTGATATTGATCAGCATGTTCTTGACCTCTTGCAGAGTCCAGCAGGGTTCTGACGGACGTCAGGTCTTCAGATGGATAGGTCAGTGTCTGTGTCAGTGGGTGTGGTCTTTGGGCTCATGCTGCCTCCTCTCTCTTCAGGAATGGATGACGAGTCGCCGTTGACACTGGGCAGCACACCTGGAACACGCATATGCAAAGAATGAACACACATCAACTTCCATGGGTTATTTACGATTTGCTTATATTTAGCAGAAGAATTCAAAGTCCAGGGAGCTAAAGTCAATGGTGGAAGATATATTGGGAGCTTTTCCGCAAAGATAAATACTAAATCACGAGTAGAAGTCCTGCATTTAAATTCATTCTTATGACGCCTTGACATTTTTATGACACACTGTACTATAACTTTAATGACATACTATGACATGACATTTTCATCACATTTTTGATGACATGCTATACTATGACATTTTTTTATCACATTTTTGAAGACATGCTATACTATGACATTATCCTCACATTTTTGACAACATACTATATTATGACTTTTTCATCATATTTTTGAGGACATGCTATACTATGACGTTTTCATCACATTTTTGAAGACATCCTCTACCATGATGTTTTCATCACATTTTTGACAACATCCTATACCATGACGTTTTCATCACAGTTTTAACGACATACTAAACTATGACGTTTTCATCAAATTTCTGACATGACGTTTTCATCACATTTTTGACGACATACTATACTATGACATTTTTGTCACATATTTGACGACATGCTTTACTATGATATTTTCATCACATTTATGACGACATACTATACTATGAAGTTTCTATGCCATTTTTTGTGAGGGCATACTAAACTATGCCCTTTTTATCACAATTTTGACGACATACTATACTATGACGTTTCCATCACATTTATGACGACGTGCTTTACTATGATGTTTTTATCACATTTTTGACGACATGCTTTACTATGACGTTTTTAACACATTTCTGACGACATGCTTTACTATGACGTTTTCATCACATTTATGACGACATGCTTTACTATGATATTTTCATCACATTTATGACGACATACTATACTATGAAGTTTCTATGCCATTTTTTGTGAGGGCATACTAAACTATGCCCTTTTTATCACAATTTTGACGACATACTATACTATGGCATTTTTATCACATTTCTGACAACATACTATACTATGACGTTTCCATCACATTTATGACGACGTGCTTTACTATGACGTTTTCATCACATTTTTGACGACGTGCTTTACTATGACGTTTTCATCACATTTTTGACAACATACTATACTATGACATTTTCATCACATTTCTGACAACATACTATACTATTATGTTTTCATCACATTTTTGATAACATACTACACCACAACGTTTTTGACGACATACTATTGCGTTTTTGTGGCTTTTTGATGACATACTACAACATTGTTGGGATTCACTGGACCACAGGTGATTTATCATTTGTTAAGATCCAAATTGGACATGTACAGGTTTTTTCTCTGGGTCTTGCCATCTGGGATGGTGGCTGAGACTGCTTGTTCTTTGTTTATTCTTTAAAGTCAGTCAGTCATTTCTCTACAGGATGCCTCACTGTCACACCTAAGTGAGAGATCAGTCTTCAAACTTGATTGGACACCACTGTCACAGTGACATGTGACTCTGTGATGTCACCAACCCATCTTAGGGAGATCCTTCTACTCTCCATCCCGCTCTGTTCTCGTGAGCCTCTGAAGAGAGCTCTTTCTCCTGGACCTTGACCGAGGTAGCACATAGGCAGGAGGACCTGCTACGGCCTTCCCCATTCTCCCACTTCTGCATGCTCACAGCAGGAGCTGCAGCCTTGCTCTTAATGTGGCCTGCTCACAGCAGACCAAGAACCTGAAGACCAGAGAAGTTAGTGTGCCAAACACAAGGTTTGCAACTAACTTTCCAGCGACAAGGAGATCCAAGTCAAGTTAGCACCAGACTTCTAACTCTGCAAGGATACCGAGCGACTGATCTCCTCGGCTCTGCACCTTTGGAACAAGGACACAGCAAAGACTGCACCTGGAACCACAGCTCTTTCCACCCTTCCTCTGCCTGCTAACAAAAACAGCACACAACAAAGCAACTCTTCCCTCCATTCAAGGATTGGTAGTGTAATGACTGGACATAGCATTATTACAGTTGTACAACCTAAGGAAGACTGACTTGATTGTGATTTAATGCTATTCATTGAATAATTGTTTTAATTGTTTGCAGTTACATTATTGGTTAGTTGGCTTCACCAAAGCTAAGTGATGTTATTTTGTCAATGTTTTACATCGACAGAATCTTGCATGGGATTGAAATTCCTCTGCACTAACCCAGACCCTTTTGCAACACATATCACGTACACATATACTCACACAAATTTTCTTTCAACATACTTACACCCTAATAGGGAACTCCAAGCTTCTTTTTCTTTGTCTTTGTCCTAACTGACTACACAGTACCAACCTTCCAGGGTATCAAGCCATCTTTGAATTGGCAATCTTGTAGTTTTCTTGTAGTTGTTTCTCTCTCTCTCAACCATGCTTGTATATGCTTAGCTGGTTGGAATTTATGTGTTTTGATTGCATTGCTTTCTTTATGAATAAATACTTTTGGAATTGCACCTGCTGTCTGTTTAATATTGCACAAGATTCAATCAAAGCTCATCCTCTGCTATGTCAAGAACTCCTCATGCTAGTGCTATATAAATATGGTAATTTATGAACTTTTTTATGAATTATTTTTTAGCATCACATTTTTGACGACATACTACACTGACTTGTGTTGTTGTGTTGTCTTGATTTTGGCAACATGCTATACTATGACTTTTTTTATGATTTTTGATGACATACGATACTATGACATTTTTTCAGGATTTTTGATAACATGCTATACTATGATGTTTTTTTATGATTTTTGATGACATGCTATATTATGATGTATTTTCGTGATTTTTGCCAACATAATATACTATAGCGTTTATTCATGATTTTTGACGACACACTATACTATGAAGTTTTTTCTTGATTTTTGACGACACACTATACTATGACTTTTTTTGGTGATTTTTGACAGCATACTTACACTATGAAGTTACTATGACCTTTTTTCAGGATTTTTGATGACATGCTATACTATGATTTTTTTTTATGATTTTTGCCGACATATTATACTACAGCATTTATTCATGATTTTTGACGACATTCTATACTATGACGTTTTTTCGTGATTTTTGCCGACATACTATACTATGGCGTTTATTCATGATTTTTTACGACATTCTATACTATGACGTTTTTTCATGATTTTTGATGGCATACTATACTATGACCTTTTTTCATGGTTTCTGATGGCATACTATACTATGACCTTTTTTCATGGTTTTTGATGACATACTATACTATGACCTTTTTTCAGGATTTTTGATGACATACTATACTATGGCGTTTATTCATGATTTTTTACGACATTCTATACTATGGCGTTTATTCATTTTTGATGACATGCTATACTATGACTTTTTTTCATCATTTTTGACAACATACTATACTATGACGTTTTTCATGATTTTTGAACAACATATTTTACTATGGCGTTTATTCATGATTTTTGATGACATGCTATACTATGACTTTTTTTCATCATTTTTGACAACATACTATACTATGACGTTTTTCATGATTTTTGAACAACATACTATACTATGACATTTTTTCAGGATTTTTGATGACATGCTATACTATGATTTTTTTTTATAATTTTTGATGACATGCTATACTGTGACGTATTTTCGTGATTTTTGCCGACATACTATACTATAGCGTTTATTCATGATTTTTGACGACACACTATACTATGACTTTTTTCGGTGATTTTTGACGGCATACTTATACTATGAAGTTTTTTCGTGATTTTTGATGACATACTATACTATGACTTTTTTTGGTGATTTTTGACGGCATACTTATACTATGAAGTTTTTTTGTGATTTTTGACGACATTCTATACTATGACGTTTTTTTCATGATTTTTTAGGACATTCTATACTATGACGTTTTTTCATGATTTTTGATGGCATACTATACTATGGCGTTAATTCATGATTTTTGCTGACATACTATACTATAGCACTTATTCATGACTTTTGACGACACACTATACTATGACGTTTTTTGGTGATTTTTGACGGCATACTATACTATGAAGTTTTTTCATGATTTTTGCCAACATACTATACTATAGCGTTTATTCATGATTTTTTACGACATTCTATACTATGACATTTTTTCCTGATTTTTGATGACACACTATACTATGACGTTTTTTCATGATTTTTCACGACACACTATATTATGACGTTTTTCATGATTTTTCACGACATAACATAGTATGGCGTTTTTTGGTGATTTTTGACGGCATACTATACTGTGACATTTTTTCGTGATATTTGCCGACATACTATACTATAGCGTTTATTCATGATTTTTTTTTACAACATTCTATACTATGACGTTTTTTCCTGATTTTTGACGGCATACTATACTATGACCTTTTTTATGGTTTCTGATGACATGCTATACTATGACATTTTTCAGGATTTTTGATAACATACTATATGATATATTTTCCTGATTTTTGACAACATACTATACTATGACGTTTTTTTCATGATTTTTTCACAACACACTATACTATAACGTTTTTTCATTATTTTTCACAACATACTATAGTATGGCATTTTTTCATGGTTTTTGATGACATGCTATACTATGATGTTTTTTGCGATTTTTGACAACATTCGATACCATGACTTTTTTGGTGATTTTAGATGGCATACTATACTATGACGTTTTTTTTCGTGATTTTTGCCGACATACTATACTATAGCGTTTATTCATGATTTTTGACGACACACTATACTATGACGTTTTTTGGTGATTTTTGATGGCATACTATACTATGACGTTTTTTCGCATGATTTTTGACAACATACTATACTAAGACATATTTTTGTGATTTTTGCCGACATACTGTACTATAGCGTTTATTCATGATTTTTGACGACACACTATACTATGACTTTTTTTTAAATGATTTTTGATGACATGCTATACTATGACTTTTTTTTCAGGATTTGTGATGACATGCTATACTATGATGTTTATTTGTGATTTTTGACAACATACTATACTATGAAGTTTTTGTTGATTTTAGACGGCATACTATAGTGTGACGTTTTTTTCATGATTTTTGATGGCATACTACACTATGACATTTTCTCGTGATTTTCGAAAACATACTAAACCATGACCTTTTTAGTGATTTTAGACGGCATACTATATTATAATGTTTTATGGTGATTTTTGAGGAGATACTATACTATGACGTTTTTCCATGATTTTTGACTGCATACTATGCTATGATATATTTTCATGATTTTTGATGACATACTATACGATGATATATTTTACTGATTTCTGACGACATACTATACTATGATGTTTTTTGGTGATTTTTGACGACATACTATAGTATGGTGTTTTTTTTTTTATGATTTTCCATGACATACTAGGCTATGACCTTTTTTCATGGTTTTTGACGACATACTATACTATGACGTTTTTTCGTGATTTTTGGCAACATACTATACCATGACTTTTTTGGTGATTTTAGATGGCATACTTTACTATGACGTTTTTTTTCATGATTTTTGATGACATACTATACTATGATATATTTTCCTGATTTTTGACGACATACTATGCTATGATGTTTTTTCATGATTTTTCACGACACACTATAGTATGGTGTTTTTTTCAGGATTTTTGATGGCATGCTATACTATGACATTTTTGGTGATTTTTGACGACATACTATAGTATAGTGTTTTTTCATGATTTTTGATGACATGCTATATATACTATGACGTTTTTTCGTGATTTTTGACAACATACTATACTGTGACCTTTTTTCATGATTTTTGACAACATACTGTACTATGACATTTTTTCAGGATTTTTGATGACATTCTATACTATGATATATTTTCCTGATTTTTGACGACATACTATACTATGACGTTTTTTCATGATTTTGGAAAACATACTATACTATGATGTTTTTTCGTGATTGTGGTGAATGCTATACAATGATGTTTTTGGGTGATTGTGGACAACATACTACACTATGATGTTTTTGTGACATTTTTAATGGCATACTTTTATAATGTGTTGGTGACATTTTTGACGACATACTATAGCACAATGTTTCTGTGACATGTCTAAGGTCATAATATACATTTTGACATTTTTGATGACATACTATAGCACATTGTTTTTGTGACATCTCTAATGTCATAATATACATCTTGACATTTTTGTGACATTTCTGATGACATACTTTACTATGACATTTTTATTACATTTTTCATGGCATACTGTATTATGACTTCGTTAGATTTTTGATGACATACTATATTATGACGTTTTGTTACATTTTTGATGGCATGCCATACCATGACCTTTTAATGACTTTTTATGACACACCATACTATAACTTTCAGGCATACTATGACTTATTTTCTAAAAAATTTTATGACATGGTATGAATTTTTAATGAAATACTCGTGGCATACTATACTATGACGTTTTTTATATTATACTTTACTATGGCCTTTTTTTTTAATGATATACTATACTATGATTTTTTTAAATTATTTTGATGACACACTTAGACCTTTGTTGACATACTCTTCTATGAATTATTTAATGGCTTTTTTATGGCAAACTATACTGACTTTTTTTTAGGCAAAATATACTATTACTTAGTGTCTTAAAAAGTTTACTATACTATATATACAATACTGTAAAGTTTTTAATAAATTTTGTGGCATATTATACTATGATGTTTTATGATTTGGGGGTAAACAAAATTAACAAAATTTTCATGACATAATTTTAGCAAAACTATGATCTCTTTTTTCAAATTTTAAGAAATACTACACAATGAATTTTTTTTTAGGTTTTTTTCTTGGTAAACTAGACTATGGCCTGTCATAATGACATACTGTACTACTTTTTTCATGACACACTATACTATACTACTGTATGACTTTCATTTTTTAAAATGACATATTGTACTAGGAATTTTCCTTGATTTTTTCATGGCAGAGTATACTGTGACTTTTCATGACATACTATATTGTGATTTTTCTTCATGACTAGAACTAGAACTTTTTTGATTAAATTTTTATGACATAATATACTATGACTTTTCCCTACTACACTTTGACTTTTTGGCCGCAACCTCACTGATGTAACCAGTTAGAACTCAAAAAGAGCGATGTATGAAAAAGGTCTTCAAAGGTATTAAATTTAGCTTTAGGACTCCTTCATATATTCTGAGTATTTAGCCTAAACACTGGGGTATCACTGCTTCTACTCTGAGTTCTTTTCCACCACTGACAATACTAAAAAAGGCAGTGCATGTCTTACGTTCAGTATCATAAACAGAGCTGTCTGAGCATGTCCGGTTTCTGCGCTGAGTTGACCGTTGACCTCCACTCAAGTACTCCTTAAGTACCCCTGACCTGAGGGGAAAACAGAAAAGAATGATTAAAACTCAAAAAGGAAACTTAATCATCTTGGTCAATATTCTTAATAATCAGTGTTTTGGCTGCTTAATATAAAATGTCTGCCATAGGTGGTTTACTTTGGCTTTGGTTTCTCTCTGTGTGATGAAAGACAGAGAGAAACATGTCACCAATAATAGACCTCATTTTCCCTGACATTTTCCTCTTTCTTAAAGGACATTGGACACATTTGCAAATATTATCTATAAACATCTGTTTTGGAGAAATCAGACATCCTGCATGGTCTTTATTTGATGATTATTAATTAGTAATACATCAATATCCACGTAAATGTACACAGGTTTTGTCTTTCTGTCCAGAGTTCGAGAAAAACATTTTATTTTGCAAGGTCAGGTGAAGGAGAAGATGTTTGGTCCCTCTGAAGAGATAAGCTACAATTTATCCTTTCTCCAAGAGATTAAAGTTATCAGTGATGAATGGAAGGAGTTGTAATGACTCTATCCAGACTGTGCCCGCTAAACGATCCTCTAAAAAAAAAGTTTTGTTCAATCTTCTCACGGGTTAAAAAAAGAAGAGATTTGGGTCATCACTGCCTTCACACAACATTTTTTCTTCATTCACCTGACCTCAACGAGCTTGCCTTCTTGTACAGCTGATGAAGAATCAGCCCGAGCAACATCAGCTACCACAATTTTGTTTGTAAATTGTAAATGTCAATAAAAATGTTTCTATCCAGACTTGTTCATTATTAATTTTCCTCCCTACACTATTATATGATGTCTCAAAATGTTACTACAACATGTAACTGCAAAAGGTCAAGAAACAAGAAGTATAATACACCAGTGTTTGTATACATGTCTTCTATCAGAGGGGAAAGGTCATCAGTGAGACAACATGATACCAAAACTGTACTTTAAAGCCGCATTAATTATCTCAAACAGAATGTGACCCTACATTTTTACTGACTTGGCAATTGGACTGCTGTATACCATAACTATCCATTATGTATACCTTGCCATATATGTTGATATATTCTGTTTAAAAATATACTATATTTGTATTGTACTTCACTTATTATATTACAAGTACTGTATTAAAGTTCAAATAAACTGGGTTTAACAGGAAGTAAACTTCACTAAAATTTAAATGCATTTCTTTTCAGTCTGGGTTTTATTGTCTTTTACTGTTCATGGTATTAATATTGTTGTTGTTTTTTTTGTATAAGTTTTCTTTGCTCCATGACATTGTTGTCAATCCTGTACTGCTTTGCAAGACTTTTTAGGCTGAAACTGTTATCCTTGTCTGTAAAGTGATGAGAATATCATGAAGACACACCCCTACATTCTGGTTCATATGAAGAGTTCAGTTTCTTTTTTTGTTTTAGTTTTCACTATGTTCATATCTATATTAACATTTACTTTATTGGCCCATTTGAGCTTTTGTATTACACACTGATACATATTTTTATTTTACTTTCTGCTGTAACGGTGTCCTACAGAAGGCCTGGAAAGATAGGGCTATAAGCCCTTTGAGTATGATGAAGCTCTCTGACTGGACTCTGAAATAACTAAATAAAAAGAAAATTTCAAAAAAATACATATAAAGTAGTTATTATTATTATTGCTATTATTATAAGTTAATAAAATATGGATGTGTGTTTAAACTCACCTGTCAAAGCTGTATGTACCTGGGTGACTGATTGACCTCTTCATCTGAGCAGACGGACAGAAAGAAGACATTTCTGTTAGTACAACAGTATTTATCAGTGTAGGATGTGCACAGTCCTGCAGCTTACTGAATGCGTACATTTCAAAAGACACTTTCTGCAAGTAATTTTAAAAAAGGGAAAAAACTGATAATGTGGGCTTCAGCTACAAACTAATCAAACTACAAATAACTGGGTGCAACTAACAAAGGAAAATACAGTGTAATCTAATTTTACAGGCAATTAACTAGTTTGTCTCCTCCAATCGTTTTACAATACATCTCTCTTTAATTGTGATTTCTTTTTGGCATTATTGGGAGTTTATCTTTACAGAGACCTCCATTTCAGCCTGCAGGTGTCAGGTGATTGATCATAATGATGATGAAAAACAAATGCATAAAGAAAAAACAATACAACAGAAACACAGCTAGAACCAAATTAAAGCTGTGTGTTTGCTGTGACTGAACAGTTTGAGTAGTTTTCAGGTCTGTGCAAAATATTTTTCACACATTTGTACAAACAGTACAAATTTTTTATTCAATTGAAAGCATCTAAAGGATTTAGTATCTTGGTTAAAATTCTCTAATAACAAGATTAAAGGTATTCTTATCAATGATGTTTCTTTATGTTACATAAGCAAATATCTTAAAAAAAAAAAAAAGATAAAAACAAATATTATTATCTTATTTGGCCTTATACATCCACTATTGGTAAGACCCTTTTTTTGTGAAAGTAACAACACTTGATGCTAGGGTTGGGTACCGTTCATAATTGAACTGATACGGTACCGGTAACGGTATCTGGCATTCGGTACCGGTACCAAACAGTACCTTATTTCGGTACTTTTTAAAGTCTAAACTTCTCAGTTTCAACATTTTATTGAGAACATTTAGGAACAGTGCTGCATGTTAACTTTTGTCCGCACATTTTTTTTTGACACCATTGTTGCTGAGTCTGAGGTGCGAGTCATGCGCTCTCGCTCCGCCTCCACCTCAGGTACCGAAATTTGGCACCGATTCATTTTAAGTGAATCGGTACTCGGTAGTACCGACGTGAATCGGTACCAAGTACAAAAAGTACCAAGTTTCGGTACCCAACCCTACTTGATGCACTTCAATGTTGCAGCTGGTAAAAGTGGGGCAAATTTCAACAGCTTTATATACTGCTGGATAGCTTAATCTGTAACTATATTTCATAATTTATTAGTTTGTATTTTGTATTGATAATCTGAATCTGTACAGCAACAAGTAACTAATACTGTAAAATAAATTAAGTAAAGTATAAAATATAATACTACCTTCCAAACTGTAGCGGAGTACAAATATAGAGCAGTGTAAAATGGAAATACTCGAGTACAAGTACCTCAAAACTATACTTAAGTACAGTACTTGAGTAAATGTACTTCGCTACATGCGACAACACTCCTAAATGAGAAGTCCTACATCTAAAATTTAGATGTAGAAAAGAAGAGGTTAAACAGACTTGAAAATATTAATAAAATATACTGTGCAGTGATGGAATGTAACCAAGTACATGTTAAGTGCAGTGCTTATGTAAGTACAAGTTTGTGGTACTCGCCACTTGCATCTTCATGCCCCTTTACTCCACTACATTTCACAGGAAAACATTGATCTTTTAACTCCACTGCATTTATTCGATAATTTTAGTTACTTTACATATTAAGAATTTTGAATACAAAACAGACAGAGGCTTATACATTTTTTTAAAAGTATTTAGTCGATTAATTAATTAGTTGATTGAGAGAAAATTAATTGTAAACTATTGTGATTGCTTGTCTTTTCTTCCTGTAAAAACATTTCATCATTCCAACTTTTTAAAAGTGAGTGCTGCTTTTCTTTAATTATTTAAATTCATTTATAATCATTGAGTAAAAATGTGTTTCAAATGTTAATAATTAAAAACAAATATTCAGTGCATTTTCCACAATAAACATTTTGACTGCAGGCTCTTCTATGGTCAAAATTTACCACACTGGGAAGATGTCAGTTTTTTATACATCCCCAAAACACACTAGTGTAGACTTACTGTACTTGAAATAGCTATAGAAAGTGTAATTACCCTTTCAGGAGGTCGGAGGTCAGGGGTCAAACTCTGGTTGGCGAGGGTCATACACTCTTCCAAAGTCCTGATGAAAGTTGCACAGGTTGCACTGAGGAGAGAGGCCTGGAGAAAGAGTGAGGGAATCACAATTATCTGTAGTCGTTACTGCATCACACTACAAATGTTTAAGTCCTCTTAAAAGTCGAGATGAACTTAAAGTACTGATGTTACTCTTGGAGACAAATAAAAACAAAAGTGTCATCTTACAATAGTAATCCTTCTGTCTGCACTAAGGTTTGTTTTTGGTGTATTTGATGGTGCAAACTTCTCACTGATGAACATTTACTGGTTCTATAAAACTTATTAAGATATGATTCCTAAAGTGGGAACAGACATTACACTATGCAATCAACCTTTGACTCATAATGATAAGTTATAGCGACAAAAAACTTGTCTGCATCGATTTAAGTTATAATAATTTAAAAAATAAATCAAAAGAAGATCACTTAGAAGTTGTGAGTCTAACATATTGAAAATAAAGAAAAATGTGACTGTCAAAAGAAACAAAATTAGTTTGGGGTCAACAGACGACGTGTTACCTCAGAGGTGGGCGTTTCCTCTGTGTCAGCAGTGTGCTGTGATTGGATCGTTTGGACCTGCTGGACGAGGAGATCGCAGTACAGACGAAGTTCAGACATCTTTGTCTTCAGACAATCTGGACCTGGCAAACGACACACACACACACACACACACACATACACACACACACACACACATAAATCTTTTACTAGACTTAACACCGTGTGCCATTTCGTAAGATAGAGTGTCATTTTTACTTCTCCATTAATAAAATGTAATAACTAGCACAAGCTCCTAAACAATATTTTTGAATACAGGTGAGATTGATGAATTGTAGCTTAAACAATGTGTGTGTATCACCCAGTATTTTTCATAATAGAAGTCCTACAGTTCCCTTTATTGGTACATTATGCTAAAATTACCAGGCTGCAGGTAATTTCCACGCACCTCAGTGTTTTTTGTTTGTTTGCTTTTTACCGGGCCTTTATTAACTACAGGTCTCCACATCAGCTTTTATGTAAGAATTTGTAGTAAGTACCACTTAAACACACAATGCAGAGTATGCCGTATTTGATCAATTTTACCATTTACCAATTGTTATAATTAGCCGCTCATGCTAAAATTGCTCCTTCTTCATACAAGTTTAGCTTTACAACATGACACACACTGTATTTGTGAACGTATGTGGTACTTCAGATGATGGCACTTGTTATTTAAAACACTAATCAGTATAACAACTATCACAAAGACAAATTCAAAGAGAAGTCACAAGCTAAACTGTCTTACAAACAGGTGGGTTTTTTTATAATTTGTTTAGATGTCATTTTCCTAAAGAAAGGGAACAAATACAGATGAGGCTGACAAACAGATTTACATAAAACTCTGTGTACCTTTGTGTTTGTGACTGTCTAGTGTTCCAGCTTTGGACGAGCCTAAAGCCACCAGCCACCTCTGTCTCTCTGCAGCGTTCACAGCTCGAACGTAAAAATGCTGCTCACCAGGAATTATCAGCTCCAGACGCGTTGGATCTGTCGGATGAACTGAAATATAAAACATTAACAGTGTTTTAAGGATGTATTTAGATTTGTTTCATACCATGAGTGAGGACAGGTGAAGCATACAGGGTCAGCAAATAAAATCATCTGCCAGGAAAACATTTCAAACAGCAGTCTGACCTTTAATGTCACACACGGACATCTTGATAGATCCTTTGCTTCCTTTACCAACATCGTCCTCGCTGTCATAATAAGAGATGACTCCATTCTCTAGGACAAACCAGCGTGGCTGCCAGCCTGAGGACAGAAAACAGACTCAGTTAACAAACGTTTTATTGGACAAAATAACAATAAAAGTATACATTTTCAACATGAATTGATACACAAATAGTGATTTGAGGGGTGAAGTATTCCTTTAAGAGGTATTCCACTGATGTAGTACATAGGGATGCACAATATTATGGGCATGTCATCTGTTTCTGCCAATATTGGCTTTAAAATGAATAGAATCAGAATCGACCAACATGCTTAATTTGCACAATCAATTAATATTACATACCATGGAAAGTATTGTATTTCATGTCTCATCTGCTGGTGGGCATCATGATAAGAGTATGCATGCATAATATGATGTTAATACTATACTTGATGATCAGTAAAATTAGGTGGGGAAAAAAGTGAATATATCAATGTCGGTATTGGTTATCTGTCAAATAAGTTGTTACATATATCAGATATCTGCAAAAAATCCAACATCGTGCATCCCTATTAGTACAGTGCTGCACTTCTATCAAACTGGGAGACTGACAAGGGACAGATTAAAATTGATACACCAGAAGCTATTGCAGATACTACAGAAATGCTGATTCTGTAAATGCTATAGTTGCAACGGAAGATTATTTTCATTGCTGATTAATCTACACATTATTTTTTTAATTAACTAATTAGTTAAATAGTCTGTAAAATGACAGAACGTTGTGAAAATGCTCATCACAGTTTCCTAAATCCAAAAATCTGAAAACTTGTGGTTTTACCGTCAAAAATCTCAGTATTCAAATCATTCATTTAGTATGTAAGTAGTAACAGCAAAATATATTTAAAGTATTAAAAGTAAAAGTGCTAACTTTATCTATCTGAATCCGCAATTCTTCATTGATTCCTGAGGCTGTGATGCATTTCAGTCACTCCAATGTAAAGAATAGAGAATTAAAATAAGTAAGAATAATTGTATGAAACAGATGTACATAAATATAACGGAAAAAAATAAAATAAAATAAAATAGAAACAGAAATGCGTAAAGACACTAGTACTTATTTAATATACACTAGTGCTTACTTAAAATATTAAGAATAAAATATGTTCACTGTGCTGAGTCTGTAAGTGTGTAAAATATACATATGTGTTCATTGTGCTACATTACACTGTACAAACTAGTATGTTACATTCAGAAACATAAGTTCACTACAATATATGCATCAGTAGAACAAAAACAACAATAAGAATGAACATAATGTTATGGCATTATGTGCATTCAGGGGGTGTTCGTGAGAATATACAGCTGATAATACTGAATATACATTTTACAATGTTATCACATAAAAATATAAAAATAAAATCTTTTTTCTTAATAACATTTTTCCTTTTAAAATGTAATGGGGTAAAAGTATTAAGTGGCAAAAAATGTAAATTATGGCAAGTCTGCAAATACCTCATAAAAATATTTAAGTGCAGTGCTTTAGTAAACGTTGTTTAGTAACTTCTTACCACTGCATGTTGAATATCAATAGCTTGAGTAATTAGTTATCATTAGGTGACAGCAGTGGTGCAGCTAGCATATGTCATATATCCTTACACAGTCACATTAGCTTGTTAGCTGCGATGGTAACGGTTAAATATGTTTGGAGAAGATGTTAAAATGGCTATTAGCACTGACAGCTAACACAAACATCGCCATTCATGACTCAGCCACTGTGTCTGCTTCTGGTCAGAAGGACAGTTAGCTTAAACAGCTGCGAGACATAAAGACAGACGACTCACCTGTCATGTAATTTGTCCATTTGTACAGAATCCCCTCCATGGCTGCACCTCACATCGGCTAGCTTAGCCTGTTAGCTTCTCGATGTAGCTCAAGCTAGTTAAGCTAACGTTCGCTCTCCCTCCCTCGACTGACAGCGGGTTAGAAAATAACCACCATCGTGAGCTGCTACGTGTCTAAAAATTAGTGAACTGCTGGTAACTACTGAGAGCTGACTGGCAGTGTCGGCAGAATAATATCATGCTGACGGTTAGTTTGTGCTAAGATGTTCATAAACTGACCAGCTAACTTATGAGCAGTCAGCTGATGGAGAAAAAATGTCAACAAAAGAGCAGGTTTCTCTACGGAAGGCTGCAAGGGACATTCCACAAGATGAATGAGAAGAATGGAAATGTTTAACATGACGTGTTGAGGAAGTATTCGTGTCCTTTACTTAAGTAAAAGTACGAATAACACATTGTAAATACTTGTAAATATTTAAAACCTTGCTGAAGTTAAAGTATGCAGCCTGAATGGTATCAGCAAAATGTACCTTAAAGTATGAAAAGTACCCAAAAGTAGACATTGTGCAGTAAAATGTTCCCTGCCAGTGTTTTACAGAAGTAGAACATGTATTAAGATCAGGGGCGTAAACATAGACAGTGCAAGAAGTGGGTTGCACTGGGGCCCATGAGATGGAGGGGCCCATAAAGAGAGTGGTCAGTAGCATCTATAACAAATCATATGCTTATTCCAAATAAACTATAACTAACTAAACTAAAAGTAAAAGTATTCATTATCAAGCCAAATGGGCTCATTAGTTGTTAGATTCATACATACTATATATTATGTAGATTATTTTTATTGATGCAATCACACGCCCAATTTTTTTAATGTTGTAGCAAGCTGCAATATAGTCTCTTACACAGACGCCAATTACATCGGCACGCTGGCTGACTCTGTCGTCTGTGGACATTCCCAAAGGAAAGTTGTAGTAGAACTAGCGCTGGCTCTCAGTGGCAGTGATGGGATTGGATCCAAATCTGTGTACTTCCGTACTTCTTCGACCAACAGCTGATTAGCTTTGCCTTACACCCGCCTACACCGGAATTGCTGTTCCCCGAATTGTTGTCGTAGTACAGCAGAAAAGGAAGTGTTCAGTGCATCGCAAGAAGAGATTAAAATGGATATGATTTCATCTGATTCAGCTATATTGCAGAGCTGCAACATCCACAAGATTGGAGAATTTAAGGATTTACCTATGGCAACATCATCACATGGTCTGGATATCCCCGGCCATTTCTATTACAAAACAAAAGACAAATGTCCCCAGACTCCCATTACAAAGTAAAGGAGGCTGGTCACACGAGACTAGCTGCAATAGAGCTAATGTTATTCATTTTTATACTGTTTGACAATGTAGTGTATTTTTTTTAAATCTTCATCTGCAAAGCATGAAATTAAGACAACAACAATACAATATTTTTAAAAATGGTAAGAGCTAAGAAGAATAGTATGTACAGAGGCAAAAACAAAACAGAAGGAAATAAAACACAAAAATTACAAATCACAAAAGTACAAATCAGGCATTAAAAGAAAAAGCTTTCCTTTAAAAATACTTTTAGGCAATGATTTAAAAACAGGTAATGTGCTAGTATGAATACCTTAAAGGGTAATTGAGGAATGGACACATAATTTGAGGTAGCCAACAACCTGATTTTATACATCTGAAGAACTATTAAACTATTAACTATTAAAAATTAAACTGCTTGGCAAACAAACCAGGTGTTTGAGGCAGGTGTTGATTCATCAAAATGTGTAGCCACACCAGGCTAGTCCTGGTGCATTCAAGTGAGGTTGCATTTAGTTTATGTCTCTATACAGGTCATCTTCACTGTGACATCATAATGCTCAGCAAAACACTTTTCTAGTCATTATTCAACATCGTAACTCAGGAACAGAAGAGAAAACATTTGGTCAGATACTAAATTGGTGACACTAATCTTAAACTCTGCTGATTGTATCGATCTTCTGCGCTGCTGGGTTGAAGATGTGTCCATATTTTATTATGTAGCTTCCTAGCAGCAACATCCATATTTAAAACATTGTCAGCTGTCACTGCTACATATGAGTCCGCGATGGCATTTGAGGTGGTAATTCTAGTTCTATCACTGTCTTGCACAGATGTTGCTATTTTTGCAACCATAGCACAGGAAGATTATGTCCCCCATTCAAAGCTCTGATTGGTCAACTGTTTTACAAACTGGGGAGAAAATTTTATTTAGTTTCAAAAAACAAACAACATTAAATTCTTTTTGCTTCAACATTGTAAAACGATAAAACAGGAAAACTTCCAAAGGGGAATTATTTTTATAGGCCTTGTAATTTTTGCCTATAAACCCTTGTTTCAGTTGTCTCAAGCAAAAACAGACATTAAGTAAGCTTTGGAAAACAGATGATGATTTAAACATATCTTTTTCCTTTGGTGATGGCCATGGTATACAAGGTTGTGTTTTTTGCCTCCAACTGGTTGCCTATATTTGTATAAGAGAACAAGGTATTAACTACTTTTAAAAACATTAATAGCCAGTGGAGTGTCTACACTAAATTATCCTTTCAGGGGCTGATATCTCCTTGTCTCTGTCCAGGTGCACCTGCTGTTAATGTCCAGTAAGTACTTGGTTAATACTGTGATGGTGAATGCTCTGGTGATGAAGAGTCCATTATGCAGGACCATGGTGATCCACACCCTAAACACCCTGCTTAAGTCCAAAACAAGGAGACCTCTGACCCGCACACGCCTGCCCTCTGCTGTGCTGTTGGCTGTTGGTGGTTGGATGAATGATGCTCCAACCAACAGGATTCATTTACAGTACAGGCCAAAAGTTTGGACACACCTTCTCATTCAATGTGTTTTCTTTATTTTCATGACTATTTACATTGTAGATTCTCACTGAAGGCATCAAAACTATGAATGAACACACGTGGAGTTATGTACTTAACAAAAAAAGGTGAAATAACTGAAAACATGTTTTATATTCTAGTTTCTTCAAAATAGCCACCCTTTGCTCTGATTACTGCTTTGCATACTCTTGGCATTCTCTCCATGAGCTTCAAGAGGTAGTCACCTGAAATGGTTTCCACTTCACAGGTGTGCCTTATCAGGGTTAATTAGTGGAATTTCTTGCTTTATCAATGGGGTTGGGACCATCAGTTGTGTTGTGCAGAAGTCAGGTTAATACACAGCCGACAGCCCTATTGGACAACTGTTAAAATTCATATTATGGCAAGAACCAATCAGCTAACTAAAGAAAAACGAGTGGCCATCATTACTTTAAGAAATGAAGGTCAGTCAGTCCGGAAAATTGCAAAAACTTTAAATGTGTCCCCAAGTGGAGTCGCAAAAACCATCAAGCGCTACAACGAAACTGGCACACATGAGGACCGACCCAGGAAAGGAAGACCAAGAGTCACCTCTGCTTCTGAGGATAAGTTCATCCGAGTCACCAGCCTCAGAAATCGCAAGTTAACAGCAGCTCAGATCAGAGACCAGATGAATGCCACACAGAGTTCTAGCAGCAGACCCATCTCTAGAACAACTGTTAAGAGGAGACTGCGCCAATCAGGCCTTCATGGTCAAATAGCTGCTAGGAAACCACTGCTAAGGAGAGGCAACAAGCAGAAGAGATTTGTTTGGGCCAAGAAACACAAGGAATGGACATTAGACCAGTGGAAATCTGTGCTTTGGTCTGATGAGTCCAAATTTGAGATCTTTGGTTCCAACCGCCGTGTCTTTGTGAGACGCAGAAAAGGTGAACGGATGGATTCCACATGCCTGGTTCCCACTGTGAAGCATGGAGGAGGAGGTGTGATGGTGTGGGGGTGTTTTGCTGGTGACACTGTTGGGGATTTATTCAAAATTGAAGGCACACTGAACCAGCATGGCTACCACAGCATCCTGCAGCGACATGCCATCCCATCCGGTTTGCGTTTAGTTGGACGATCATTTATTTTTCAACAGGACAATGACCCCAAACACACCTCCAGGCTGTGTAAGGGCTATTTGACCAAGAAGGAGAGTGATGGAGTGCTGCGGCAGATGACCTGGCCTCCACAGTCACCGGACCTGAACCCAATCGAGATGGTTTGGGGTGAGCTGGACCGCAGAGTGAAGGCAAAGGGGCCAACAAGTGCTAAACACCTCTGGGAACTCCTTCAAGACTGTTGGAAAACCATTTCAGGTGACTACCTCTTGAAGCTCATGGAGAGAATGCCAAGAGTGTGCAAAGCAGTAATCAGAGCAAAGGGTGGCTATTTTGAAGAAACTAGAATATAAAACATGTTTTCAGTTATTTCACCTTTTTTTGTTAAGTACATAACTCCACATGTGTTCATTCATAGTTTTGATGCCTTCAGTGAGAATCTACAATGTAAATAGTCATGAAAATAAAACGCATTGAATGAGAAGGTGTGTCCAAACTTTTGGCCTGTACTGCATATAATGTTCGAGCTGACAGCTGGGTGACAGTGAACAACAGCAGAGAGGTTCCTCGAATGCTCCACGGATGCGTCTTCCTCAATGGATTTGTCTACTGTGTCGGAGGCTATGATGGGTTTAAATATTTAAGAAGTGTACGAAAGCTTGACCTCGTCACCCAAACCTGGCAAAACTTTTCATTTTTAATTTAATTTTTATATACTTTATTAATCCCAGAGGGGAAATTCAATTTTTCACTCTGTTGTCAATTACACACAGGTCCAAACACACACATGCACAAACTGGACCTATACATGCACTAAGTGGAGAGATGTCAGAGTGGGCTGCCCATGACAGGCGCTCCGAGCGGTTGGGGGGTTCGGTGCCTTGCTCAGGGGCACCTCGGCAGTGCCCAGGAGGTGAACTGGCACCTCTCCAGCTACCAGTCCACGCTCCATATTTTGGTCCGGACGGGGACTTGAACAGGCGACCCTCCAGTTCCCAACCCAAGTCCCTATGGACTGAGCTACTGCCGCCAATGCGCTTAGTCCGCTGCTATGTCAGCGTGGTTGCACTGGATGGCTGCATATATGCCATGGGAGGCTGTAACAAAAGTGGAAGACTCAAAACTGCAGAGCGATACCAGCCTGACACCAGCCAGTGGACTCTGATTGCACCAATGCATGAATACAGGAGCAATGCCAGCGCCACGACACTGCACGGCAAGGTAGGTGGAACTGAGGACCTTAAAGAGCAATCCAACAGCAGCTGGGAATGTTTTTGTGCAGACCTCCAGTGGTTTAACTCCCTGCCTTGTTGCAGTGATGCAGATGTGTACATGTGGCAGCATGACTATCAATAACTGACATCATCATATCAAATTTTTTCTAGGTGTACATTTGCGGTGGCTTCAACTGGGCCGAACCTCTGTCAACTGCTGAGTGCTATGACCCTCACGCCAACCAGTGGACACTGATCACCCCATGGGAAATGGGTATGACGCGACTCTGGCCGTCGCCTACAAAGACCAAATCTATGTAGTAAGCAGAGCACAACACATTGATGTCAGCACACTTAGATACCCCGAAACAAACGAGATAGGAATGGACTGAAATCCAAACATGGATGTTTAATTTTATCTGGTTTTGGGGGGGGCGTTCTGGGACTTTGGGGGGTTGTAATGACCTGAGTGCCTATTTACATTCTACAACTACACACAAGTTACACATGTACTGCTTTTCCACCAAATGAGCAATGGTTCCTGAACTAGTTCTGTTCATGATTCCTGGAACGTTGGTGCTGTGTAGTGAACCAGTCTGCGTTTCCACCACTTTTGAGCAGAACCATTGTAATTTCGGAAGTGTCGTCAACAGAGGTCTTTGGAAATGCATAGTGGTGGTAAACAATGGTAGAAAAATCGTGGTTCTCGATGCTATATCCATTCACAATTCTCTCTCTATCCCACTCCCACTGCTTTGCTAAGACCTCTCCATTCATTATATTTTCTGTTCTGTCACCAGACCATCAATTTCTGTTCATCATTGCTGACTTAAATTTCTGCTTGGTTGCTGGGCCTTATTTTCTTTTCAGCATTCTATATAAGTTGGTCTTCAGTGATCTTAATTTCTGTTTGGTCTTTTGACCTTTTATTTTCATTTTGGTTCTTGCTGACCTTTTATTATGTTCAATATGAAGACACCCATGGTCTTTGGACCTCATGCACCATTCACTGTATCTTCAGTTTGGTCGTTGGTGTATCATTTCATTATAAATCTCTATTTATCTACTTTTCTTCCTCCTTTAAGTCATCAATTTAGACCTTTTCTGATCTCATTCATGGCTTTATTTTCATGGCTTCACACACCCACTGTTATCATCACAGTTTGTGCTTCACGTCAAGAAAAAACTGTTTTTTTTTGGTTCCAGCTGAGAACCAACTTTCAGGTTCTGAGCATTTTTGTTTTTTGGTCAAAATGCTCTGAATGATTCAGCTTAGGTGCAGGAAGAGAGACAGAACCAGTTCCATGTTGGTGGAAAAGGAGTAGTGGGGAGTTGTTAACTGGGCCTTTGTAGGCCAAAACAATAATAGAATTATATTTTGGTATTTCATAGAAGGCTGTAAAATTGAATTTATACCATAAATTGACATAAACAGACTTTTTTGGTGGCTAGACAAAAAAATTCTTGGTGTCGGGGTTGAGCTTTTACCTGTACTGGAGTATTTTTCCATTGTGGTATAAAAGATTTAAATGTTTCACCATTCCTCTCCCAGGTTGGTGGCCTAAGAGAAAATTCACATACGAGCAGAGTCATCGCATATGACCCACAGTCAAACCAGTGGAGTATGGTGAATCACATGATTAACCCTTGCAGCAGCTGTGGCATCGCTGTGTTGGAGGACCAGCTGTATGTGGCTGGAGGGCTGAATGATTATGGCACCATCTCTAAGGTGGAGCGCTATGATGAAAAGACTAACGCGTGGTCCGTCGTCCAGGACATGGAGATGCCCTGCAGCGACCTCAGCTGCTGTGTGGTGGAGTGATGCCCCTTCACTGCTGCATACCTGTCATAACCATATCGAGCCTCATCTACATGTGGATTTATATTTTGTATAAATCTGAATCTTTAAACTGAAGCTGTCAAATAAATATTAGTGGAGTAAAAAGTGCAATATTTGCCCAAGATGTAGTGGAGTAGAAGCATAAAGTTGCATAAAATGGAAATACTCAAGAACCTTGAATTAGTACTTAGATACGGTAATTGAGTAAGCTTCACCAAGTTATAGCCTTATAATTCAGGTAATTCAGTATTATGAAGTATGAAACTGATTTGTCACAGATTTTTTGTGGCCTAGGGGACAGAGGTAACAGATTTTTTTCTGGTAAAAGGAAAATAACTCCTGCTGTAATGAACACCACAGATTGGAACCTGGATCGATAATTTAATAAAGTGACAATACATGTAATTTACTAACTAAAAGATGTGGATTTGAATAAAGTTTTAGTTGGCTGCAATCTACAACCTCACAGCTAGATGCCACTAACTCCTACACACCAGACCCTTTAACAGCAAGGCGCGAAGACTTGACACACATAAGTAACATAAGGTAAAATAAAAATAATAATCAGATCAATCCATTTTTCATAATTCTTAATCTCTCTTTATTGCATTAGAACATACATTTCTCATATATATCTATATATATTTATATATATATATTTTATAAATGTGAATTTGTACACTACAATCTTTTATTGTAACATGTTAGAAAATACTCGTAACGCTCCAAAAACATAGCACTAAAAACAGTTACCAAACAATGATTATTACATTTCCTCGTTTTTGTTTTGGCCACCAAGAACAGAAAAAACAAGATGGCGGAGACGAAACTGTCAGTCAGGAGGAGAGGAGAGGACCACGGTCGAAGACCGACAGTTGGGCCGTTGCTGTTTTTTAGTGGCAGACATTTTGTAACCAGACAGACGGGGATGAGAGGAGGGAGGGGTCTATCACAACAGGTGCACAGAGGTGGGGAGATATGAGTGGGGGGGAAGCGTAGTGAGCATTAAGCACATGGGAGGGTGGGGTCACTTGTATCCATCTAAATTACAGACAAACAGAAGTAAAGGGCCCGATCACACAGGACAGCTCTCACTGTTGTCAAGTCTCCAGTGTGAGTGAAACATTTGAAGTCCTGCTTGATTGTTGTTTGACCATCCAATCTCCAGGTAACCTTAAAAAAGTGAGACATTTTATAAAATTTGACTGCTGTTTTCAGTTTCCTTTGTGGTTTGGGAAGGTTTTTTTGTAGAAGAAATCACCCATTTTCGTCAAATCACACAAGTCTTAAAACGTAATCAAGGTAACATGAAAAGGTTGCTTGTACTGCCAATCCAATGGAGCATCAACATCCCAGCTTTAAGCTCCTTTTTTTTAACATGCTGGGCTGAAGAACATATAAGTTCCAGGTAACAAAAGGCTGTATTCTGACTATTGCGGTGGTCAAGTAAATGTTTCATCACTTCACATTAACAGTTACTGAAACAAACTTCAAGCAATCAATATTATGAGTAGCATTAAGAGAGAGTGCAGTGTGCCAACCTGTGTTATCGGGCCCAAAGGCAACCATGTTCTCTAGTTCATTAGTAACCAGCAGCCGGTTGCACCAGCTGTTCAAACATATCATAAAGGCTTCACTACAAGGTGTCAACAGGTATCAGACACTTCAATCTTATGCTTTTTACAACCTTTTCAGGATAATTTTTAACCAACTTTAGGCGGATTTTAAGACAAATTATGATTTCCTTATTCAAGCATCGCAGGTAAGAAGCATGTAGTTCTGTGCCGAAGTAGATTTTAGGAAGGAATTTAGTTATTAGATTAAGTGGCATGTTTAAAGATTTGTAACAGGAATGTAACTTTTTTGTAACAGGTAACTGCCAGGCGTAGCTGTCACACTGTGTACTGTTAGCTAACTGAACTAGCTAAATGACAGCACTAACATTAGCCTGCCAATTTGGAGTGACATACAAGATTGAGTGACCTGACACTTCAAAATGATGTTCATTTCTTATGTTAACTGATGAAACATTAAATTTAATTTCACCAGAAACACAATATTCCTCATGCCACAAAATGTTACGCCAATAACATTAGAAAAAAAGTATAATTTATGTGTTTAACATAAAAAAAAAACAACTTGAATCTGCTTTGTCAGGACTTGTAGGTGTGATTTAATTGGACAAAAAAGTTCTCCATGTATTCATACATGAATAAGCAAACTTCTTCTCTTATTTACAAAGGATCGTTTAAGTTTAATATGTAATTTGGCCTCTTGCAAATGTCATTTTTGTCACAGCTTGCGCTGCACAGTGATTCCCTGTTTTCATAGTTGATTGCTTTTGATTGGGATATTTCTCAGCACCCAATTTACACATTAGTAAGGTTTGAATTGAGACATTTCTGAAGCTCTAATGGTTCAACTTGATTTAGTAAAACACAAGTTCGAAGCTTTCCAGTAGTTACTAAGAACTTTGGAGGGACTTTAAGCACTAAAGTTAGTGAAAGATGTACGAAGAGCTGGTGCAACTCAATCCAAATGTTTAGCGGAGGAATTTGGATGCAGCGTAGTTAAACAGCAGCAGTTAGAATGGAGGAAGAGTTACTGAAAGCAGGGTAGGTAACAGCAACTTATTTTCTTTAACAAGAGTGCAGGGAAGTTCAGTTGTATCACACAGGACACGGCAAGCAGGTGGAGATAGAGGCGGGTTGAGACCAGCATTGAAAGCTGGGACAGTGGGGACAATCTAGCAGAGAGATAGGGGGAAGTCGGGGTACAGTATAACCATCTAACACACAAACATTAAGGTTTAAAAACTAGCGATACAGACACGACAACTGGCACTGTATGGAGGCGGGTGGGGCGGAGGACTGATGTATGTGCATGTGAATGGGTGGAGGTGGAGGAAGAGAAAGAGGGGACGTGAGGCATCAAGGAAAAGTTAAAGATTCAATCCCCCTTTAAACAGGTCCCGAACAAAAACCTGTTTTTTTGCAGATAGGAGAAAAGGGAGTTGTGCAACACTGCGTAACATCACAGAATGATTGTCCTCTTGAATATACCTCACCTCCCCTCCTCATGTACACTGTTCCTATTTTTTTTTTTTTTTAACCCTCCTCCTCCCTCATCCCCTATCTTTACTTTTCAGGGATTTTCCTCTTGTAGTTCACACACATACACACAAAACCCTGTGACCATAAAAGACATTTATATACACACACATGTGCAGACACTCTCTCACACACAACACACACAGACACAACAGGTAGACACATTTTGACCCAGTAGTACAGCTGACTGGTTTGTTTGCAGGAAGCAGAGGATTGGATAGTGCACATGTGGATTATAGCAGAGCTTAAAGCTGGTTGGCCAAGCGCACAGACGCAGCAGTCTGTTATTGATATGACAATCAGCGCTACAGTGGCACAATATAACTGCACGAGTACAAAAATCAATATGAACTATTGCAATTTTTTAAAAATGAGACTGCACCCCCCCCAAAAACAATTAGTTCGAGAAGTGTTTTCAGATCACCTTTGAGTCTATAAAGTCAAGATGCGGAAAATTTGGGTGCTCAAATGAAGAATAAGCTGTTCCACATAAAATTAATATTACTGATTGAATAATTTAAACAGTAATATTCTTTCTCTGTTTTATATTATTGCAAATTCAATATCTTTTGATTTTGAATTGTTAGTTGAAAAAAAAAAGGCAATTTGAAGTAACTTTTCAGTCATTTTATAAACCAAATGATTCGTTAGTTAATTGAAAATATTACTTGCAGCCTTAAAAATGTTTTTATATATAGCTTTAAACAGAAAACTTTAGCATATGCAATCTCAATTCTTCCTGATTTCAGGTGCACTGTAGAACAGAAATTTGCAGTCAAAAGTACCTACATTTAAGACATCTCATGTTTCCTTCCTCCTCCCCCTCTCCACCTCTCCCTCAGTGAGCAGTATTGTGGTGTTATGATGTTAGGTTCCTAAGGCAGTATCACAGTACAGTCCATAGAGAAACAACAGCAGTACAGAATTACACTGGCCTGCCCAGAACCTTACATCCAGCTCAGGTGGGACACTGATGACATCTGGATTTATTTATTTATTTTTTCAGCCTCTGGTTATTTGATTTATACTTTCCAAAAGTGTATGTTGTATGTTTTTGCCAAGAAAAGTTAAAATTTTAGCTGTTTCCTGTTTTTTAAATATTACTGAACATTCAAAGCAGGAAACAAAGAGGGGGAAAAAAGCTTAAAAAAAGTTAAAATCTCATTAAAATCTCATCTCCTGTGGCGCCCTGGTAGCTCATCGGGCTAAGGCACGTGCCGAGTTCTTGCGACATCACTGGTTTGAAACCAGCTCATGACCACTGTCGCATGTCATGTTCTTCTCACCTCATTACTATCTATTCACTCCACTGTGGACAACAGAACATTTTGATGCTTGATAAAAAATGCAATGCCATGGTAGCCATTTAGAATTTAGCATTAATTGAACTACAAGTAGCTTCATTTCCTCACATGACTTTAGACTGACTATAAAATCAAATCTGCCAACAAGCTTGGAGGAGTCAAAATTATTGCTTCAAGGTAGCAAAGTTAGCTACCGAGTGAGCCAGCAAACAGAGTGTGTTGTGTGTAAAATGTGATTTTCTGAAATCAAAATTTTAGTTATAGTAAAAAGATTTTCTGGGGTAGGACAGGCTAGATCGCAAACTTAATAAGTTAGAGCTCATATATCCAGTGCTTTAACAGTGTGGTAACAGTCATGTCAAACATGCAACAGCTTCACTCGTAAACACTTTTGATAATCGATTGAAACACTGTCATGCAAAAATGTCAAATATGTGTTGGTTTCAGCTTCTCAAATGTTAAGATTTGCTGTTTTACAGCAATGTAAACTGAGTATCTTTTGCCAAATGATATTTGCTTTTGCCCAAAACCAAAAGATTTTTGGTGTTGGATAATTGGCTGGAGAAATCACCTTGCCCTCTGCTAAATAGTGACAAATTTATGTAATTTTATAGACAAAAAGTAGAACATGGATGCTCATTCACACCTTCAATAACTTGTAGACAGATGTGTAAGAGTAAAATGTCCATAGGTAAGAGAAGAGAATTCCCACACACTGTCCTATTACTTGCAATAAACTCTATTTAAAAACACAATGCTTCTGTATCAGGTAAAGTAAAGGAACACAGAGCATATGTGTTTGGGAATGTACTTTGTTTCTTCATTTTACATGATGAAAGTCTGAGCGCTTAAGTGTTGCATATTTAAATAAAGGTAATTGCAAGTAATAGGACAGTGAGTGTACAGGAATTCTCTCCTCAGATAAGGCAATAATAAAAACAATTGTTAGTTATAGCTTTGCTAACAGGGCAACAGTCATCTCAAACATTAGTTTACCCAGACTGCTGCACATCTCCAATCTTATATTTAAAATATAAACATTAAACTCTTGGCATCATATTAAAATCTTCTGCTGAATCACAGTGGAGAGTGAAGTGAACCAAAAAGATGTTTTCTAAAACTAACAGAGCTGCTATTGGACGTGGAGGAGGGCGGAGTCTCCTGCTTCAATGAGGAGGGTCTCCTTTTACAACTTATCGAGGCCTCCAGTAAATTCAGTGGCACAACTCTCAGATATAGGGTTCTGGGCCAGAGCTGGGCCGGGAACCGCCCGGCAATGATGTGGGTTGGTTCTGGCACTGAGGTAGCCAAATTTTTTGATTGGTCTAGCACAAGTAAAACCGGCCAGGGACGGCTCAGACAGCTCCAGTTGTCAATTTTTCTTTATGTTGAGATGAAGGAGGTTCAACTATATACTATGACTATTAGACAGTTACCTATTACTAACAAGTGACAATGACTGGAGCCGCTGGAGCCCCCAGGAGTGCCAGAACCAGCCCAAATGTCTCTGGTTTGGGTGATATTGTAGTGCGTGTGGTCTATAGTACAGTAGCATCAACACAATGGTCCAATAGACAGATCAGATAGAAGATATCATACAGATGGTCCAATACAGTTATAGTACAACATCTATACATCAACTATACATTGTGCGTTTTTTTTTTCTTTGTTATATTTTCAAGGGGTCTCATGGGGTTAGACTTGGTCACCATTACATCACTGCTGTAAGACGGGGTAGGGGTCAAACTAGTGGTGGGCAGAGCCATAGATAAATAGAGTTTGATCATTATAGTCTTACAGTAACACCAATGTTAGTGCTGCAATCCTGCTACTTGGCAACTGGTGTGGAGGACCACAGCTAGAGTGCAACTCTGTCAAAATAAAAGTTAAGTGGTGTGGCAGTAATAGAGCAATAAAGTAGGCAAGGTTGTATTTAATAATTTAGAGGTAGTGTTTTGGAGAACGTTCAGCAGCTGGGATCAATTCAGCTGACGCTCATTGTTGTTGCCGATCCGAGCAGACATCCTACAACAGCCAGATCACGCTATAACTGAATTGATATTGTGTAATCTGAATCAGACATAAGTGTTTTAATTTCTCTGATGTGTAGTGTACTCAAGGGTGCGTCAGTACGCAGTGACATCACTGCTGGGCGTGGTTACAACAGTGCAACAGAGCACTTCTGACCACACCACACAGAAGTAAAGCAGACTTAAAACCAGAGAAACTTCCAACCAGAGGGAAGCAAAAAACTGCTTTTCAACACTCCCCACTAAAGAGTTAGAGAACACCACAAAGAACTGACAAGAGCTTGACTAATTAGTATTACTCGAATGACAAAAAAACCTACCTTTGCTATAAAAAATATGACATCACCTTTATCCAAATCTGACTTTAACAGCAAAACTCTATCGCGCTGTAGACTGAACCTTGATTGGGTTTTGCATGGTTTTCCAATAAACCTTATTACCCTCATATTTTGGCTGTTAGTATTACGAGTATGTCCTTTATATGGCATGTTATGAGTTGTGCTTATAAACACTTTAATCCTACAGCTTTCTAAAAAGCAGCCGTGCAGTCCACTCACATACCCCGTTAGAGAAGAAACAGCCACAGGCTGCCACAGTCCAACCTGACCAAACTTTCTGTCTATCTATGGCTCTAGTTCCAAAACAGGGTTTGGGTAAAAGGGTGTGGGAGTTACAGGTTAAGGGTTTAGGACACTGGGGACTTAAAGGGGTAAAGAGTTCAGGGTCAAAGGACTACAGGGGTTACAATACTAAGGGTTTTAAGGAGTCTGGATAATGAGGTGTTGAAGTTTGGAAATGACAGTCAAGGTTTACAGTGATGAGAGATTTAGCGAGATACTGGATTTGAGAGATTCATGGGTGAGGAGGACAAGGTTAGTATGAGTCTTATGGGTCGGTAATGTTAGGATATGACTGTGGCCTCCGTAACTATAGCAGGGTCTTCTATGTCAGCTTTACTTTGAACCATCCTCAGCTCCAGCTGGGGCGGACTGGGCCTCCGACCAGGACCTGCTAACTCTGAGAGAGAAAGGGGTAGGTAGGTAGGGGGTGGGCATATGGAAACACAAATATGGATTAACATTAATTGTAAGGCTACGTTATGAAATGTTTTAATGTAAAAAACAGTTTGGACACACTGTGCAACTGATGCAAAGCACCCCAAACCAGGCTGAGCCAGTTATCATCCTGAGAGCTGCAGGCCAAACCGATACAACTCATAGTTCATAAAAGAACCTGCAGCAGCAGTTAAAACCTGCAGATAACCTTCTACAGGCTGCTTTGATTTTGACATTTGTGCCACCTGGAATGATAGCTACAGCCGTAGTTTTTCTTTTTTCCCAATAAGTCCTTTGCTTTCCTTTTTATAGGTGGTGCAGGTTGACATGTAAAAAACTGTTCTGATAAACCTAGTTTCCACCATGCAGTTTAGTTCATTACACATTAGAATGTTTACATTTGCATTTACGTTGTCAAAAGTTGTGGATGATACCAATAAAACCGCTCTGTTCCATCCTGTTTTTCATCACCCCTCTGTTGAGGTACAAACTGATTTGATACTAAAAGGTAGAACAAGAAACACTGCAGTCCCTTGATTGGTCCAGACAAGGACTCGTTGCACAAACCTGCTATTTTTAAATATCACATTGATTACGGCAGAGACCCAGAGATAGTGTGTGACGGGGAAACGTCAGTGTTACATAAACGTAAATGCAATTAGGCTGAATGATATCAGAAATGTACTGGACAAAAATAGATTTCAAGGAGGCTCCATGGAGGAGTGTACAGGATGAAAAGTCCTTCTTAATTTACTGATTTATTGATGCCTCCGCCACCATGGCAGGCAGAGGAAATAAAAGTGTGACGGTTAGACTGGAAGCACTCAGAGAAACAGGAGTCCTTGATCATTTGTGGTAGATATACTTAAAACGTTCACAAGAAGTGTTAAATAAAACACATTACATGCGTGTGTCACAGAGTCTGTGTGGATTGTAACATTTGATCATATGGGAGCATATTGGTTTTAAGCATTGAACCAATATCCTTATTATCAAAGCCATCGCAAAAACCCACAATGTTCCTGTATATTTGTGATTTTATCTGTCCATTCTTTATTTTTCATTAACCTCCTACAAATCTATTTTGCTGATGTAAACATTTGGCATCAAATGCATAATAAAAATGCAACAGAAATTTGATTCTAGCTCTCCTTGTTAATCTTGGTTGATGAAAAAACAGCATAGATTTGATAGATTTGAGCCAAGTCAAAGACTTAGGGGTTGATAAAAAGCCCTGCCTCTCTTACCGTGAGCATACGAAATGGTCCTCTGGATGACATGGTGCATCACTGAAAACGTCTTCTCACAGGCCGTCTGAGAAAGAGAGAGAGTGAAAATAATGATTATGTTTTTTTTACTTGTAAAGTATGCATGTCCTTCTCTTTAGGTCAGAAACCATTAGCATTTTTAATGCTCTAGAGAATGATATAAGACATACATATATGGATCAAGACAAACATATACATCAAATTAAATCAAAATCATAAGCCCTGTCATCTGCAATTTTATCTGCTGTTGCATTACCACAGTATAATTCAAACCCTGGCATTTTTGTACCTTTAGGTCATTAGGATAGTGGTGTGTCCACGCTAGCAGCATAGCAGCAAACAAATCCCCAGTTCCTACAAAGACAGCATCCACTTTGGGAACTTCTATTCGAACTCTCTGCGTCGTCCTGCTGCCATCGGGACGAACTGAACGACATAGAAAACAACACAAAATGTTGGAGGGTTATTTTTAGTTGGCAAGTCTCAAAAATATATATATTCAAACAACTCATATGCACAGTAATTCACAAATGTCACATACCATGGCGCTGGCTGCCCAACGACACGAGGAAGCGGTCTCCCAGTCTGGGGGGCAAATCAGAGGAGGTGATGACCACTGTATCTGGGCCCATAGCATGGAGAAGGTCCATAACCTACAGTCAATGAGTGAGATACAAACCGTGAGATAAGAAAAGTCAAACAATGTAAACATGATAATGGGTTATTCTTTTAACAAAGTAATGTACAGAAAGAAAAGAAGGATTATATAGTGAAGGATCTGTTACCTCTACGGCATCTTTCTCTGTGCTGATGTTTTTCCCTGTCAATAATCTGAAACACAAGCAAACACAATGTTGCAGCACTCTAACAGAAACACTGAAAATGAAGTTATTAACAAAAAAACATAGACACTCAAAGGCCAAAAGATGTCTCTTTATTAAAGCCTTGAAACAAGACACCTAATTCCACTCATACTGGTTATCAGAACACACAAGTGCTACAAAGGGCAAAATCCACAGTCAGGTGAGCCTCTAGTATACCGAAAAACCTTCAATCTTATTCTGCAGGCATATAAAAACACCACTAGATGGAGTACCTTGACTGTGAAGCTGAAGAAATAACTGAGACAAGACACAGTTATCTCTTATACTCTGACATAATGTTACTGTTCTTCATTAAATGCAGCCATTTAGTCAGTGCAAGCAAAGAAAAATATGGAAAGCTTCTTATATCTGACTGTTTCTCCATCACTATAGTGTGATCTAAAACTTAACAATGGATACTGGTATCTAAATAATTCATACTAGAGACACTGAAATCCACCTTTATTTAAAATTTTCGTTAAGATCCTAAAGATACCTGGCCACTTTATTAGGTACGCCGTGCTTGATGTGGGTTGGATACCATTTTGTCGTAGAACTGCTTTAATTCTTCGTGGCATAGATTCAACAAGGTGCTGGAAACATTCCTCTGAATTTCTGGGCTATATCGACATGATAGCATCACACAGTTGCTGCAGATTTCTCAGCTGCACATCCATGATATTAATCTCCCGTTCCACCACATCCCAAACGTGCTCTATTGGCCAGTCACCAGTTTGAGATGATTTGTACTTTGTGAAATAGTGTGTAACCCTGCTGGAAGTAGCCATCAGAAGATGGGTACACTGTGGTCATAAAGGGATGGACACGGTCAGCAACAATACTCAGGTAGGCTGTGGTGTTTAACCTATACTCAGTTGGTACTAAAAAAATCTCCCCCACACCATTACACCACCAGCAGCACCCTGAACTGTTGATACAAGGCAGGATGGATCCATGCTTTCATGTTGTTCAGGCCAAATTCTGACCCTACCATCTGAATGTTGCAGCAGAAACCGAGACTCAGCAGACCAGGCAATGTTTTTCCAATCTTCTATCATCCAATATTGGTGAGCCCGTGCCAACAACTGTGTTGTCACACTATGTTAAATGGATGGTAATCCATTGGAGATTACTGTAGATTACTGAATTACTTCCACAATTCAATGATTTTTCCAAAACCTTCAAGGATTGTACTAATACCATGACTTTTCCAGGCCTGGAAAACAAGATTTAGAAATTCTATGCCTAATCCAGACTTTCCATAACCTTGGGAATCCTGTAAATTTGAAGCCATAGATAAAATAGTATCTTAACTTTGAACAAATATCTTAAACATGGCTATGTGAGATATATTCCCACAGTAGTGAAAACAATCTACCTTTCAAGCTACGTCGTTTAAAAGGGGAAAACAGAAAAGAAGGGAGCTATAGTTAGCTGTATTTTCGGTTAATTCTTTCCCAAATGTCTGGAACCACAAAATGAAGGTATTAGATAACATGCATGAGTGGCATTACATAAAGATGGTGTTGCTAATGCTCTGCTACTCACAGTTACTCACAGAGGTGTAGGTGATTTAAACTAAGTAAGTAAGTTTATCTTGAAATGGAAGACCATTACAGACATATCAAGCTAGAGTCACTGGATTTATATCCACACAAATCTGCAAACACTAAAAAAAAGACACTTGTACTCACTCAGCCTCAAACTGGTTGGGTGTAATAATGTCAGCAACAGGAACCACCTTGTTCTTATAGACTGGGTAAAGATTCTGAGGAACGTACTGCGAAGCGAGACACACAGGTTAGAGTCACATAACACAATGAAAATACACAAATAGTGCTCTAAAGGAACACACATTTACGAAAAGACTAAGTTTATTCTCTGATCTTTGTTTTCAAGGTTTTAAATTATGAGCATGAAGTGACAGAGTATGATCTTAATCCCAGAAAATGCACATCTGCACAATGTAACACACACACACACACACACACACACACAGACGCAGAGTGAGTCACTGTGTATATGTAGTTCTGTCAGATCACAATAATCCATCTGTCACTGAGAAATGAGCCTTGTAACACCCTCCCCCAAAACACTAACACAATGAAACACACACACGCACACACCATATATATAGAGATAAAAACAAACACAAATATGAGCACTAAAACCCTCCCACGCACATTAAAGGCACAAGAACCCTTGTTAAACATCTCTCTAACAACAACAGACTTTAACACACACAAACAAACACATGCACATACAAGACAGAGAGCATAAAATTGCCACTAATCTCACCATAGATCCATGATCACCAAGGACGGGGTCACATACTGGAAAAATGGCAAAAACACATTCAGAGCCAGACAACCAACACAGATCTACAAGGCTCCATCACCACATTACATAAATACTGCAGTGATAGGAGGCATGAAACTGGATTTGGAGATGTAAACACATCCAAGCCAGCATGCAGAGAGGCTGACAGAAAAAACATAATTCATTTTTAAAGTCTACATTCTCTTTAAAAAAGACGTCTCAAAGGTCCTGTATAGTAAATGACCAACACACTGATGAGTTATGTGTTATTACACCCTGAGCTGTGGTGTAGATAAAAATGGAGAATCTATCTTGAGGGTGGCAACAAAGACGTTTAGGCATTGATTGGCAAACACTTGCTAATTTACAATTGAAAAGACCTGGAGCAACATAAGCACATATTTTGAGTCATATCCTTAACAAAATCAAAGTTTAAAGTTCACCCTCCATATTTTTTTGCTTGTGCACTAGCTAGTCGTTAACTTTGCCTTCTTTGTGTTGATGGGTAGGTGGGTAGTGAGTTTACCAGAGCTTTTTTTGCAAAAACAAGACTGAGAGTGTTGAGAGTAAACCAAATCATACAAGTTGCAGGTGAGTCAGTGATAATTCTCTGTGGGTTTACTACAAGTGACACCTCCTGCACCCTACAGTCAATTGCTCTCTTCTTAATATACAACTATTGATTAGAGCAGTTTTAAATAAAGATAGCAGAAACACAAGGTCCAGTCCTTCAGAATCAAAGGCAAAAAACGTCTCTATCTAGACAAACTCCAGCATCATACAGAAAAAATGGAAGAGATGCTACTTTTTACAGCAAAAGCTGTCTCCCTAGCTGCAGCCAGATATATCTAAAAATATTTCAGCATCAGTGCCAACACAACACCTTAGATTCAGGAATTATAGTTTTCCTATACTTTTCTACAACAACCTTTCCACAGTAACGATCTTCTCAAATGTATGTGTTCATTAGTGTCTTATCACAACTGTGTGGCATCCTTTCTTTTAAATGCAAAAAATATGGCTTAAGTCAGGAAACACTTGATCAAAAACTAAAGTTATATTACGCAGGATTTTTCTAAAAAAGTATGGATAGACTCAAACAAGGTATTCCCTCTAAGGGTTATGCATCCGGTGCCATAGTACTTGACAGGTACTGTATGATACTTGTTTTGCAAACAGTTAATGTCTGATCTCATTTCACTGACAACGGATTCCTCTGTAATTTCCACTCTGTTGTGCCCACAGACATGTTCAGAGTGTGAGCTTCTTACTCTTCCTTGACTAGAAAACTCCTGTTCCCTTCTCCTATCAGTGCTATCCTGTCGCTCTCTCCATTATGAATGTAAAACCAGATCAGGGCAAGCAGGACCAACAAAAAGGTAACTGCGTCTTGCAATGTATGTAACATCACAAACAACAGCGTATAACAATGTAAGAACATGAAAAAGTGTAATTTAACACAGCATTTTCTCTCCACAACAAAAAGTAATGCTACTACGTCAATACAAAGACATTATGCATGTCACCCTCTGGTTGCTTATTATTTTGACCAGTGGCAGTAGGTCTTCACCATATCCACTAAAACAGTGTCTGCAGGCCAAGCTGCTTGATTTGAGTGAAACTGATTTGTGCAACATGAGATGAAAATCCTCCTGGCTAGATAGAGAAAGAGAGAGGCATCCTGAGAGTTGTCCACAGTGTGAAGTGGATCTTCTCTGAGATTAACGTTAAGCTACATAAAGACTTCTCATGTGTAAAACTAATGAGTAAATTTGCTGGATTATCACTTTAAAGTTTATAATATTAACTGTTAATTTGATCCTGTTAGGGGATTTTGTTTCATTGTCCCACATAATCTTGTGTTTCATCATGGGCCTAAGTTGCTGAATGAGAGTCGTTTTATATTAAAGCTCCACTAATTCTTATTTTTATGACAACAATGGATCGAATGATTTTAAGTTTTGTGAAAGAGGTCACTCTAAGGAACAAACCCACAGAGATTTATAACCCAGCTAGGCAGATCTATAGATTTTCAGCCTCTTTTAGCTCATAGCAAAATCTACTTTCATCAACCCAGCTGCAGCAGGCAGCTCTTTTCATCCAAAAACTCTAAAAAAAGCCACCACATGCTACCTGCCAAATACCAAACAGGCACAGTTAGTAATTGGTGAACATGATGGAGCATCTAGCAGCGAATGAGCCAGATGATTAAATGGAGCTTAAAAACTGAATCTGGGTTGTTGGTCAAAAACATCACTTTAAGTATTGAAACCTTTGTTACTGGCAAGTCATGCAACCCTTAAAAGTACTGAGAAGCATAAGTACACAACATTTATAGCAGTGACCTGAGGAAAAAACACATTTGCTGAACATTACGCTCAACAAATTGCTGCTAATGCTCGACACTACTGTACAATATTGTTAGAAAGCTTTTAGACTCTGCAAGTAGATCCCCACTGTACAAGCAGATGTGTCATAGCTCCACTGATGCAACAAAAGCTGCACATTAGCCAAACTGCATCAATTAACCTTTATGTAGCATTACCCTAAAGTTAGCTCAAGGTGGGAGGAATAAACAACAGATGATGCATTTATTTCTTGTGCAACAGTACAGCACATTAAAGGCCGTAACTTACAGCTCTCAAACTAAACTCTGTCTTCAGACAAATAATAATTCATGTCCTACTTATATTATGTGTGACTTGTAAGTGCTATTTTGGCTGTGCCTTTATTGGAAAACAGATTTCTAGAATAAAATAAATGAAACCATGTGGTTACTTACCATACACCAGGTTGGGGTTGGCCCTCTTTAGCTCCTGAACAATGTCCACTACCATCTCCAGGAAGGATGTGTCTCTGGTATACCCTGAATATGACATTACAGTGGTCATTATTTTTAAAACTTTTGTACTTTGTGAGGATTACATAACATTAAATTGTCAGTTAAGCAAGATGTAGAGATGTCTAAGGAGTCATGAGGGAACATTAATGCATGTTATTTAATGAAATTAGACCTTTGCTACTCATAGGGCCGAAGTGTTTCATACTGTAAAGTTTTGGCGAAAATGTATGTGTTTGGGAAGCACTGAGCATAAGACTGGATGAATGAGACTTGGATTATACTGCATATGTAGTGAGAGTTTGTAAACAGATGTTTTTATACAGTTTTGCTGCTGTTACGTGTGAACCCTGTTTACTTCAAATCATGAAGAATGTTTTTTGGATTCTCCATTTAACATGAAGGCATGCAAGAAAAAGTTTTCTTCACAATTCAAGATGCAAATCTAACAGCAAAACTAAGTTTAGTACTCCAATTACAGCAGTATATAAGTGAAAAATAAAAGTAGGGCATTCACCTGTTAAAACATAGTCATACTGATGTACGTTGTTCAGTTTGATTCCCTCGTAAAGAACGTGGAGCTCGTCTGCTGTCAACACCTGGCCTTTCCAATGAGAATAACCTGCAGAGAGGAGAGGAGTTACTGTGTTTGCCAAACTGCTGACTCTACACCTTTCTAGTGGCACATGAACACAGACAGACACACACACTGTGTATGTGCACATTAACAACCCCTATGGATGCTGACGCACACATCATAACCCTTGTGCTCCAGCATCATGATAAAACATTCAATCTTATACTATCCGGTTATATTCTGTTTGTCTTGGCAGAGTAGGACACTGTCATTTCAGTTGGTGCATTAAATAACAGAAATGTCTGAACATGTTGGTTGTCCTCTGAGGGAAGATTAATATTTACCTACAAGACAACAGCTTATATATGAGGTGATAGTTTTTGACCTCTAGTAGCACTATGGAGCTGTTTTTCTATGAATGGGGCCCTGTTTTGTTTGTCTTGCGATGCGATGCACATTCCTGCCAATAGTTTCACACTAATCCAGTGATCTACAGGTGGTGGTAACATGCCGCGATACGCCAAGAAAGACAAGACTACAAGCTTGTAAACGTGGATGTAAACAATGCAGGATTTAAATTACTATTTAAAAACTTCTTTATGGGGAGGAAAATGCATTTAACATATTTGATAAAGCTCAAGCATAATGTGTTTTGATGAGTAACACTCAATTTAAACATAACTTAAACACAACTCCGTGAAAAATAGTATTTTTATTTTGTTGTATTGCTACTTTTTTTTTTTTTTTTTTTTACTTAATTAAAAAGGATCTAGATTGATTTGTATATTTGGCTTTTCCACAGATGTTTCTCAGTGGTACAAAAGTAAATTAGTGCAAAAACATTCAATCCAAACACCAAAATGGTCCTTTGTTTCGGATAAAGTTACAGAAACTGGAGTTATGACTCTTTTCTACCAGCATGACTCAAAAACATCTTATTAGTCCATGTGACTTTTGCCATGCACTATGGCACAGACAAAAGGAAATAAGGCATGTGATTCTCAAGAAGTACACACACACATTAGTGTGCATTAGGTATTAGTGCAGCCTGCAGTCACACTATCTGGTCAGCCAGGGAGGCTGGCGGAGGACGGGGCCACAGACCCCTCGACTAACCAACGTACCTACATTGTGTGTTGAGGAGTGTATTAAGTGTGTGTGTGTGTGTATTTGCATATCTGCATGTGTGCTAAGTGCTGCATGTACCGTTATAGTTGCACACGAATGTGACGAGAATGCTAATGTGAGCTTGCGTTAGTGCACGTCTGCCTGCGTATGACATGTTTGCTGCAGGCTGATGATGTCGCAGCTCCAGGTGAGTCACAGCCAGGTCACGTGGTGGTGGTGGGGGGTTCTGGTTGCTAAGCAACAAGCTGGGAGAAAGCCAAAGGGGCTAAGAAAGAGAGATGAGCAGTCAAAGTGCTGTGTGTGTGTGTGTGTGTGTGTATGAGAGAGAGAGAATGAAGGCAGGCCTACAGATAAGAGCTGCTTCTGTCGTCATCATTCGCTGCTGTCGCAATTCACAACGCCTGCTGCTGTTTACTGCTGCGTCCTGTCGCTCTCTCTCCTACTCCCTCCATCTTTCTCTCCATCACCCGCTGTCTGCATCTCTCATTCAGAAATGTCCTGTCTCTCTTTCTCTCTATTAACCTTCTGTGTCCCTCTCACCAGCCTCCTCTCTCTTCCTCTGAGATGAACATGTCGTCTTCAATATGTCACACCAAATTACATACTCTCCTCAAAGAAATTGCAAATGCTGGATTCCAATACACAAGATCTGATTAAACAAGCACCACAGTCTCGGGCATTTTTATGTTAAGGTCACTGAAAGAAACACGATTTACACTGCAGAGGACAGGATTGTTTCTAACTGAGGAATCTTGACATCGTCCTCAGCTGTATCACCGTCTGCTCTACATGGGGCCATAACAAAAGTAACCATGAAACCTATGATGACAAACGTCATTCTTAGTCTAATTGGTCTTAGATTGAGCGTAGAGCTTACAGAAGTCCCGTCTAGGCTGTGTTTAGTCAGACAAGTGAGCTGTGAGAAAGTACAAAGCCCCCTACTTCATGTCAGTGCTCATCTTTTGCTGCAACACAATCCAATGCCATCTGGCCACACATTCCTGGTGGTTTAGTTTGTGACAGCTGTGGTTTTACAGTTAACTTAGAGATCATGATGACAGCAAGATAAAGTGTTCTTGACTTGTTAAGTTCTGCTTAATATCATATAATTCTGTACAATGTTTTGTAACCTTTTAAGTCTTTAAACTCCTGGATTGTATTTCATCATCTCTCCAGTGACAAAAACAGCATGCCCTTAAAAGGGTGTCTGCGGGTATCAGACACTTAAAGGGACAGTGTGTAGGATTTAGGGGGATTTTGTGGCATTTAGCGGTGAGGATTGCAGATTGCAACCAGATGAAACTTCCCCCAATTAGTAATCCTTGAGTTTCCATTGTTCAGGAGGTTTTTTACTGGAGGCTGAATTATCCGCAGAGGTCTCCTCCTCTCCAAAACAAATGGACCAGGTGATTTTATAAACTGTAAAGCAGTTTCATTTAAAGAAATAATTTTTTTCCCATTGCAGAGGGGCTTGTAGTTATGGTGGCCGATGTGAAAACGAAAAAACACAATGTCCCTAGAAATCTAGTGCCAGTGTTTGGTTTGCCTGTTCCAGGCTATTGTAAAAACTTGGTGGTGCAACATGGCGATATCCGTAAATGGGAAATGCTCCCTATATAAACAGCTCATTCTAAGGTAACAAAAACACAATGATTCATATTATCAGGTGATTAAACACTAAAGAAAACATATGTATTATATTATATTATATTTCTACCAATATATCCCCACAAATCCTACACACTGGACCTTTAAATTTAATGATTTTCAAGACCTTTTCAAAGTAATTTTTCACCAAATTTAAGACAGATTTTTGGACAAATCATCGTTTTCTTATTCAAGCACTGCAGTAAGGTAAGTCGAAGATATGTCCTATGCAGAGGTGTATTATATGCAGGAATATGATTTCTGTGAATCAACATTTTATCAACAGTAGAGTATTAGGTCCTGTAGGAGGTTTAAAGATTTGTCGAATCAGAAATGTGGACTATCACGCAAAAGACTAATTTTGACAAAAAGAATTTAAAAGATGGATGAAGATTAGATAATGTTTGCAGCAATTAAGATCTCACAAAATAAAACTTAAGGTTCAAACTTAAGGCTACTGACTTCTAAGGCCTCATATTCATAAAAGTGAATTTAAGACATTTTAAGGCTTTTGAAGGACCAACCAAAGCAGGGCTGTTTTTTATATTAAGTTTCAAGATGCGGTAGGGAAAAAAAACAAATGCCAAACTGTCCCTAAACTTTATTTTGGAGAACCACTGACTTCAAAACCATCGAAAATTAATATTCTTCAGAAAATCTTGGGAAAAGCCAATGAGCCTCTTACAAAACAAATCCTCCACTTTCTCAACCGCCCTTATCTGACAACATACAAAGCCAATCCTTCATAAACGTTGGGACATAAATCACCTACAAATAAAGCAGATCTTGTCCTCACAGAGAATTCTGTTGCAACCTTCAGCAAACGGCAACTTAATCACCAAACAAAAAACCCCAGTAAGTAACAAAATAGAAAGCCCACATAGATTTCTGAGGCTCTGCTGCCTTCCAAATGAGATAAGTAGTACTTCACTTGTGGTGCTCAAAGCATAAAACATACAATTGAGACAGTTTGTCGAAACATGTCCCATTTACCAAGGACCTTAAAGACCTCACTTATAGCCTAACCTGTTTTACTATTTATATGTTCGATTTTTTTAGTTTCCAAAGAAGTCCTGGGATGATCCTGAATAAACTACTCTCTGTTACTGATGGGCTTTTCGACTGATCAATGATGTCTGTAGAGAAACCTGGTCATCATAAATTTTTGTCTGATTCCACATTTCAACACTTCCAAACAGCTCGAATGTAAATCACAGCATTTCATCCGTCTCTGCGTCTGATGCCTCTTCAGACGAGTCCTACGCTCGCCCACACAACAACACTTATCCTACAGTACACCTACAATTATAGCTAACCCTTTGTCTGCGATGTCACAACAGATTACTTTAAACCCAACATGATCCATCTCAACTACAATAAAATAACAAAACCATTGTCTTACCTGGCTGGTTCCAAAGCCTGCTCACGAGTGTAGAAACTAAACTCTATTATCAGTAAGATGTTAAACAGCTTGCTGACCTTTTCCAGCTTGAAACTGAACGCAACCGAGTAAGGAGTAATTATATAGAGTTATGATTGCTTGTATTCTCAAACTATATGATGAAAAACTAGACAACCGTGACATGAGGGGGGTTGAAGGTCATCCACTCTGTACTACACAATACTGTGGAAAAAATATACAAAAACAGAGCAGCCAGTGGCATTACTAATTAAATACTGTGTTTACAAGAGGTTGGGATGCCTCACATGGGTTAAACTTATGTGCCAGACCCAGTTACAATTATTCTACTGTTTTTCTACATAGTAAACTGTCAAATTTGGTATTCACAAACATAAACAACGAACTGTCTTTGAGGTTTAATAAAATATTTAAGAAAAGGAAAAGGTGCATTTCACTTTTGTCAGTATTTGTCTTAATGCCGGTAGCAGGCAACTGGGTATGGTATCTCTAAATCCAGCCAAAAATAAAAAATAAAACAGGGTAGTGCAGTTGTGATGGCATCAAATAAACAGATAATTTTGTCATAATGTACTGATTCTGTGTATATTACTATCCACTGTGAAGCAACAAGCAACAGCTGGGCAGATGCGTTTGTTTTCACAGCTGATTCATTCTTCAAGTTCAGTTTGAATGAATAACATGAGCCGAGAACATCCATCAGTGCAAGACAGGGGAAAGTCACAGCACAGATTACTCATTCATGAGACTGGAAATTAGATCAAAATATTGCGAGTAAATGTGACACCAAGGGATGCTGCGGACACATCGTCTGAGCCAATCAGTAACAGGATGCATCATCAGTCCAAGTATTTAAAATCTGGCTATTACTGTTACAAGTATGCCTTTTTAAAGGTTTAAACCTTGTATCCTTGCCTTTTTTTCCCCAAAGCATTTTGTAATCATGGATTTTGTGTGCTGTGTACAGTAAATAAATCATTTAAATATTCTTAATATCTACACAACATTTGCCCAGGCTTTTCTGTGGCAATATGATAACTAGAATTGCAACTAATGATTTTATTGGTTGTCAATTAATTAGTGAATTATTTTCTTCATTAATCAGTTAGTTGTTTGGTCTATAAAATGTCAGAAAATGGTGAAAAATGTTGATCAGTGTTTCCCAAAGCCCAAGATGACATCCTGATCTTGTTTTGTCTACAACCCAAATGTATTCAGTATACTGTCATAGAGGAGTAAAGAAAAATATTAATATTGAAGAGGCTGGAATCTGCAATTTTTTTTTTACTTTTTTTTTCCCTTAAAAAATTACTCGAACTCCAACAAACTTATTGGGCGATTAACACATCTCTGTAAAAAGCAACACATTTTAATGGTGTAGGTCTTGTTGACACCACATTTTCACAATAATCAACAATAAACACAAGCAGAAGATCCTTCTGTGAGACATATTTGTGAAGTAAACACACATTTACTGAGGCAGAAAGTGGTGTTAAAGGAACATGCTGTCAAGCAGTGCTAGAAAGCAGAACAACAGAGGATGATGCACATTTGTTCTACTCATTTCTGAGTTAAAGGGGTACTTTAGGGATTTAAAATTGGACTTTCATAAAGTTAAACAACTTGTGAGAAACAGACAAAAGATCTAAATTAGTGAAGCAGAAACAAGCAACTCAGCCTTTCATCTATTATTAGATTCTCCCTGTCTGGTAATGGAAGTGCCCACATCCTTTCCTCTGTGTTATAAATTTGTTGCCTCCAACCTAAGCCCAAGACTTTAGTAAGTGCCTCTAGAGCCACAGAAGACTTTATGCAACTGTTTTCACAGACTCATGATGAGTTTACTGATCTTCGACATCTGCTTCAACAAAATGAACTCACCAGACGTCCCAAGACCAAGAGAGAAAGCCAGTTTAAAATATGAATGGAGTTTGCCCCCTGCAGCTGTTTGAGAGCTGCTCTGGTGTCAGCCAGTGAAGTCACTGACCTCCCCCAAAAACTTGACTCACTCAGTTGTTGGCTCCTCTGCTCTCAACACAGCGACAACCGTCTCTCTAACACTCGCTAAAACCTCATCACAACACCAGGGGCTCTGACTGAGTCATACACACCCACACACTAACCAAAACATAGCACACACTCCACAACCCCACAAAAAATATGCTATTTCATGAGTTTTACCTGTATGGTTGGAGAACTGGACAGAGTTGATGGAGTCCACCTCAAATCCTAAAACCTGGAAACATACGACAGAGAGAGGAAACAGATTAGGTGTCAGGAGAGATTAGGAGTAACAGCTACACTTGCTATAAATTTTATAGCTCAACTGTCTTTTAGGCAGTATACCAGTATGCAAAGGGTATCTGATACTGTAGTTCTTGCTGAGCAAAATTTACATCAATGTCTCATATGTTTGGTCATTAAACCTACGATAACTGATGTTTTGGCTACTTATGGGCGGCACAAACACAACACTGACACACCCCCTTTTAAATTAAATAGCACACACTTGCCTTTGAACACATGCATCACCTGCATTAATCTGGAGTCATGTTTCTGCATGCCTGATGAATCTCAGTTTGATATTAACTCTCTTTCAGCTCTGTTTTTGGGCTCCACCAACTCCTGAGGGAAATATCTGTCCCTTTAGCTGCTACAAGCTCCACTATGTTCACCAGCTAGTCACAGCAACACTTTGAGAGTGGTGAGAGTGAACCAAAACAGTGAAGCTGCAGAACAATGAGCTGACAAACACTACAGCAACAGCTACATCAACCAACTCTTGGTGTTGTTTCCTCTCTCTGTCTTTCTTAACAGATTTTTTTTAATTACCAGAGAGCGAGAAAGACACATGACCCATCCACATGCGCCATCAATTGTTATCTGAATGACTATTTAATTGGGCTGAAGCAGGAAGCGGCTGAGTGAATGAGTTCTTTGTTCTTTTCAATTGACTGCAACTTTGAGATACAAGAATCTGCTTTCAGAGGGGAGAGGCAGTGAATCACCCCCTTTGACCGTGAGCTTGTCAACGCTCCAGCTACTGCTGTCTGCCTGATGAAAACTTTCTCAAGTGCAGCATATGTTTTCTGAAAAGTGTATTTGTGTCGTCAGTGAGAGACATTTAGGAAACGTGCAAAGCTCTCAGTGGTGTCAGTAATGCAGAATATGACTGCATTACTGATGAAAATACCATATTTAAAAAGACAGAACTGTGAGGGTACACTCCTGGTGGACATACAGAGGTGTGAATGGTGAAACATTTCTTATTCTAACCTTTGTGATTTTCCATTGACATCCAAAGGGAAAATCACATATTTGCAAGAAGCCCAGCAACCCTGTGGCTCTGTGCTCAAGAAAACTTCAGTTGAGAAGATGGGAAAGGAAAAGTATTTGTTTCATGTGCTATGTACAAGTTCCCCCCTTGATTTTATTGGCTACACTGAGCTACAACTACTAGCCTGCAGTAAATCCTACCTTCATATACGTTACATTTTTGTTTTCATTTTTATCAAGGTGTTGATTCTGAAGGTCAGAGTTGAAGGTCGAATATGGGACGATGCAGTTCAGGGCCCCATTAAGGTAAATTTAATGGCTGTATTTTATTATAACATGTTATAGGCTGTACAATATATCTTTTGGGTTTTTTGTTGTTTTCTTATTGTCGTTGCAATGTCAGATTGTGCGATAAAAACATCATGAAAGACTGTAATATTCCACTAAGGGTTTCTTGAGTTTGTGATGAAAGACAGTATCAGTAGAAAATTGCACTTTACAGGTTCAGTGTAGTATTTAGGAGGATATATTGGCAGAAATGGAATATAGTATAATCAGTATGTTTTCTTTAGTTCGAAATCACCTGAAAATAAGAATCGTAGTGTTTTTGTTACCTCACATTGAGCCATCTATGTCTATAAAGTAAACAGGTCCTCATTGACACTGGCTCCAGACGGGGCCATTCGCGTTTTTGTGTCACCACCATAGTTCCCCCCGCATGAGGGCACAGGAACAATACAGATTTTTCTCATGTAAATTTGCTCTATTCAGTGTTTTTTACTGTTTTCAATAACCAGGTCTATTTGTTTAATGACGAGGAAGATACCTCTGCAAATAATTCAGCTCCCAGTAAAAACCTTTTGAGTGTCAAGTTCAAGTTATCAGACAAAGAAGATGAGCACACATTAGCAGGTGCTAGGCTGGTAATTAATCACCGGGTCCGACTGTTTTGGAGTGGAAGAGACCTCTGAGGCTAATTCGGCTCCTGCTAAAAAACTTTTGAACAATGAACACTGAAGGAATTCTAACCAGGAGAAGTTTCAGCTGATTGCAATCTGCAATCCTCACCGCTAGATGCCACTAAATCCCTCTAAATCTTACACACTAGACCTTTCTCAATGGGATCTTCCTGGTTAAATAAAGGTTAAATAAATAAAAAAATAAAAATAAAATGTAACTATCTTATTTTTTTATTGGTGCCATGCCAATAAAAGAATGTTAGAAATAATTTCCTTTCTTTTTTTTTAATTTGTCAACCAGATTATTGTATTTTAGCAGGCAAGTACACTTTTATGTATGTTTAGTTATCACAAGTAATATCGTTACTGCAACACTGAGCGTTATCGGCTATGGCATATTTTTCTATTGCACAGCACTATTATAAATTGACATTCATGAGGAAACATTAGAAATATGTTCAGCAAGATACAACTCAACAGCACAAAAATTACCATTAAATCAAATTACCATCTCTGAATCAGATTCAACTGAACATTATATTCTTGTGAAGGTAGAAATTATTGCGGTATTGTTGTATCTGATTGTACTCACTTGTCTACCTAATGAACTTGCAGCTCATAACAACACAACTTTAAATAAACGTAAATACCACTTAAAAAAAATAGTCTCATTATCCACAAAGTCTTCAACTACCTCAACACTGACTTGCAGTTGAATTTAAAATTAATTTTGAGGTGTTGATGCTAGCCTATAGCCTTAAGAATTTGTTTTTATTCGCTGTTCCAGAGCCTTGAATAAAAATGTTTGACTGTTAGATACAGGACCCTTTAACATAGGAGCAACCTGTCAATAACAACATGTTCCTTTGCTTTAACAGGACGCGACATGACTGTTGATGTAAAACTGTGTATTTATGGCATACTGATGTAAAAGGGGCTAAGAATATGTTATTTAGGTCACATCCTTTCTTGCTCTATTCATAAGCCTCAAGTCAGTGACACAGAAAGACTGTTTACAACGCTGCTGACTGGAAAGCATCGTCAGAAGGTGAGAAGAAGATATTATCCAAATTATAAACATTTTGCCTTTTTTGAGAAAACACTTTCGATAAAAGCCCAGGGGAGAAGCCCTCTCGCAACTGACGAAGAGTTCCGTTAATTAACGTGTCACAGTGCAGGCTGATCACATCTGAGTCAACACAAACACTATATTTACTGCATCGTGACTTAGCAGGCAGGGTCCCTCAGCTTTGGGTTAGCTCCTGTACCTTCACTGTTAATTTGCACATTGGAAAACAAATGTAAGCTCATATATAGGACATTACATGTTTCACACTAAGTTCAGGTGTATTTGTACTGCAACCTACAATAAGTTTAGAATGTAAAGTGACAATATAAAATTAGATCAAATGCCTGTCACATGCTACGGCAGCTCAAAATGATAAATCAGAATTACTCATTTTGTTGTACTAACAAACAAAAATGAGACTAAGAGGCGACAGCCATGCTAGCAGCTGAGGCTTTTCTTAAGAACAGTGAAGCTTCAAGCTAAATGCTAATGTCAGAAATTCCAGCATAGCGTGTTAGCATGCTAACATTTGCTAAACAGCATTACACACCAAAGTGCAGCTGAGGCTGATGGGAACGTCATTTGTCTTCTTGGTGATCATAAATTGAAGTATTGGACAAACTGACAAAACAATGGCACAAGAGGAAAAGTCAGGGGGTCACCAAAGTTTATACAATTCATCACCTGTGCGTTCTTATACCCACACTACTATAAAGTAGGCTATACCAGAAAAACATTTAGTGTGTCCAAATACATAGTATGTCGAATGCAGTGAGCCAAAAATACCAAGATGTTCTACTACATCTGATCCTATTTTGCAGTAACACATGCAAACTAGCAAAAAAAAAAAGCTTGTTGAATTCTTCATCTAACAAGATGTGACCAGCAAAGACAGCATTTTTGCTAAATAACTTGAATGATTAATTAATTATTAAGGCAGTTATCTGTTTATTAAGTGAATTAATTATTCCAGTTCTAGCCACAAGAACAACTTTAATTACATTAAGTGGGAAGAGCATTGAGTACAGGATGGTCTCGCTACCAACAATGAAGAATTTCCTCACAGGGCCTCAGTCTCCTCTAAAGGACGTTTCGGGTATTAACATCATTATCTAAAACTGAATGAGCTGCCAGTTACAGTAAATAGGTTGCAAGGCACGTGCTATTTTTTCCACCATGTGTGGATCATAACAGCTATTCCTTACATTTACACATAAAGATTAACTCTAAGGAGAGCAAGGTACTGACATGAACAACAGCAAAGCCCCATGTCAGCAGGTATCTAACCGGCTGAAGTGTCCTTGAGCAAAACACTGCATCCATGCTGCTTTCACGGACACTGAAGCTGTCCCTTTGAGAATAAACAACCTATCATGATGCTAATAAGCTTTTATAGTCTCTCACCAAGAAGACTTCTACATCAACAGCCTGCTCAGTTGTTCTCTTCCGCACCTTTATAAAATGTCTTCGTTTCTTTACCAGGGTCCAGTTGTAATTACATTTAGGAAGAAATCACACTGACTATTAAACTATTTCAAAATAATATTAATTCAATTTAACTCAATACATATATCTAAAAATGCCCAATTTGGTGCCAGAAGACAGCACTTGTCCTGAATTTTATTTCTACGTTAGAGCTGACTCTATCCAGTCAAGCTCTATGGCAGCCTGTCTCCATCTTCAGTGACGTCACTAGGAGGAATCCTGTGGCAGCCAATCAAGGCCCTGCTTCCTCACACCGCCGTCTCCTGCCTGCTGACAGGCCTAAGATTCTCTGTCCTGTCAGCACAGAGAGAGGGATGCCCTACACGCTTGCTGACGACATCATCATCATCATCATCATCATCTTATGCCTAATCTCAACACCAACTGACTCATGGTTGTGACTCTGAGTAGTGAGAGCAGTTCTGTCACTGACCTGTGGACTTTCTGTTTGTTAGTTTACATTTAGAAATACTGTCTAATGTCCACAAGCATTAGTGCTGGTTCATATATAAACTGAATGCAATAATCACCAGCCAAATACAGTTAAAACACTGTAAGGTTATACTTACCAACCAAAAGTGTACCTCTCTGACCTGACCTAACTCCACCTGCACATTTACATCATCATTATTACTCCCTTTAACATCTAATTTAAGCTAAAACATGGTGCCTGATGGGTTTTTCCTCCCAGATTTGAGAATTTATAAGACCATTTAATGCAAAATAAGTTTAAAAAGAGGCCAATTTTATCTTTGTAACAATTTCAAAGCAGCTTAAAGACATTATGCATGACTGGTTTTATTTCTCACCCGAGGAACAGCACATAAAGCAATCACAACAAGACTCACGATAGTTAAGCTAAATAGTACAATGTTTTTTCAAGACTATTTATGGTCTTAAATGTAGGTAACATAGATGCATGACTTGCAGGTGAATTTCCTCTTTAAGACTGTATTGACACTGTCTGCATGATCAAACAGGGTAAATGTCACCCTATAAATATTGCAAATATTTAAAGATATTCTGAAAAATATTTGTACCAGCACATACTGGTTTTAGTATCAATATTTGGTGACTGGTAGTTGATACTTGACACAGCTGCAAAATTGAACTACTAATTTCCCCCTGTACATCAATTAAGTGTTATCTTATACTCACAAAAATGCAAATTGGTTATCAACACATATTGGGGGAGAAACACTGGGTGCTAGTGTCTTTAAAAAGCCAAATGCATCAATTAGTCCTACTCAGTAATGTTGACAGTGAACTTAACTATGACCTACTTTGAATAAGCAGTACACTTGACAGGCTTGGCTGACATCAGTGTGTAGTTAAGGCTTTAGTAAGCTGCACTGGTAAACTCTATTTTAACATTAGCCTGGTGCAAATAGGCCTTAATCAGCCGTAGTAGCAAAACATTAGTGGCTGCACTGAACCCGGTGACATGCATGAAAGCCCAGCAGCCATTAGGATAACCACAAAATACATCCTGGGGCGCAGCAGGCTAAAAATAGACTCGGCACTTCTCACAACAAGTGACTGTCTTTCAGGATGGTGGGACATGAACTACATTAGGCCTTGATAGCCTCACCATCACTACTGACTGCCACGCCACTGCTGGTGGAATATATGAAACTATAACAACCACCAGCATCGGCCTCATCATCATCATAGCAATTATAGACCCAAAGCAATCACTGTTATCATCCTACTGTCAACATTAGGGAAATGACTATCACTTTCATAGCTGGGAGGTGTTAATAACCTTTGTGTCCTTTCACATATACCAAATAATTGACTTGCTTTGAATGCATTAGCTCTTTTTTGGCTCCTTATTCCAGTAGTTATGCCTTCTTGTAAAGCACTCAGTAAACGCTGCCTTTAGGTGACAGCTTTATCACTACTGTTAATGTTGTCACTAGCACCTATTATTAAGCTAAAGAATGAGACACATGTTGAGCCACTCAAAATCTGTACTCAATGGTTCTCGATGCGAGTGCTTTACAGTCCACCGTATTATTCAGGTTAATTAACTGATGCCTGTTACCCACCCTTTTCTTCAGATGACCCTCTGATTAAGGGTGAGAGTCACATAAATGATAATGGTTAAAGAGGCACCCTGATGTGATAAAAAGTAGTTGATATAATACCGTAAATTACCAAAGAAAACAAACTGAAAGCTGAAAATGATAACCAGTTTACTTAACTTCTGTTGGCTACTGTGGTGGACGACTTCAGCTGTCAGCCAGTTTAACGATTATTGAGATTAACCATTAACAAGATGTAAAGAATCAGTGCTTGCTATAGTCACTTGCTGCTTAAGAATGTATAAGATAAGCAGTGATTTAGAGCTATGTTTGAGGTGTCCCAATACACAATACACTCTAAAACGGGATGGTATGAAATCTATATTAAATATTCAGATTCATGATATCTGTAATAATTATTATTTTATATTCCTCAAGGCCTGTATTTCCTTTCGGTATGATGTCACTGATTGTTGTAGCCATTTGCAGACATTTATTTAGAACTGCAATAGGAGTAAATTTAGGTCTGAACAAGATTCATTATTTAGGTAAATGTATAAATTCTGTTTATCGTCTGGTTCTACTGCTCACAAATACAGGTGATTTAGTGATTCTGCAAATTCAAATTGAAACACAGCCACTGGCCACAATTTATCTGTGTAAACAGAGAGAAAAACATCCCCCTGAGGAGGCAACCTTATTTTCACAAGCACTCCCCTAATCAATACACTAGTTTCAGTGTCACTGAACTTTACAACTGAGAGGTTATCTCTTAAGTGTGTGGTCTTAAGGCCTTTGTAACACACACACACAAACAGCAAAATGCACGTGTGAATTGCAATTATCGTAATGAAACACAGTCAAATGTGGCAAAATGCTCCACTTTAAGAAACTAGAATATCTTTTAACGCCTGTGGTAAAAGAAGAACCCTGTGCTATCAGAAAACTTAAAGCAGCAAATGGCTGTATTGATTATTTGTCCATCCTGTAGTATGGAACTTGCAGGTTATCACCGCAGGAGGCTGGATTTGTGTCCATCTAGGTGTTCCCATACACATCATGGCCATTGCAACTGTCTGACTGCCTGTCTGTGAGCAAATGATAGCAACCTCAGGCACCAACACTGTGGTGACTGGTTAACAGACCCGAGTTCTGGGGACACATTTCCATCTATCTGTTAAGATTATCATTAGCTAGCTATTTTGCAACGCTACTGGCTTGTTGGTGTGTACTGCCACAGGCTGAGTGAAAATTGAGACTCAAAAGCTTGCTTGCTCATATAACAGTTATCACCACTCATGCAAGTAGGGGTCATTTGATTAACACCAGGAGGTCCATTATCAGACCCAACTCTGCCACCTCTGGGTTTAACAGCATCGAGGGTGCTCTACAGTCAGACATGTGTCATTAATACATGCAACACGTACGGTTTCTCTTAATGGGCGATAAAACCCAACATAAAAACACCTTGCTCCATTATCGAACACCCTCCCAATGACAGGTCGTGCCACATTTTCCCGTCAGATAAAGCGTCCTTTATTCATTTACCAAATAACCAAGAAAACATATGCTGCCATTATATTTTCCAATTTTCACATCCTTCAGTGAGACGATTTAAGGGCTGGATAAATGAGGGGAACAAATTGTCTCGGGTAATTTGCACGACACTTGTCGTCACGTTTATTGCTTGACATCTTAATGACAATACTGTTATTTTGGGCTTTTCACAGCACATTTAGCACTACCATCGTTTATGGCCTTTTACACTATAAAATGAAGAGGGAAATACAACTAAGCACACATTATCAACCAGCGACGGATTAGGCGGTTGACCGATTTCTGTACGAACTTTGAATGATGTAATTAACGTGTATCATTACAAAAACGGTATCTACATCTGTCGGTTTACTGCTGATTGAAAGTCGCAGTGCAATTTTGTGGGCAAGCGTTGACAGACAGGGTCGTGTCCGATAACGGGTGTACCGTCGCCCGCTGTCCGATAATGGATGCATGTGAATTGTATTTACCTGTAATGGGAAAGAGGCGCTCTTGTTGCCCACATATCCCCGGACTACATGGCTCTGTATGGACAGAACACGGCACTCCATGGCGGTTCCCGGTCAGCCGAGGAGGGATGCAGATAATCCGTTACCTCAACGACAGTCACGTCTACACATAACAGTACGGGAAACAAACTAAACTGTAAAACACAACGCCGCCCGTTTGAAAGAAGCAATGTTAGCTAGCTAGCTAACAGCTGTGTGGCACACGCAGGATGGCGGTGTGTGTGAGCGCGTGTGGTGGTTGGTTGTAGCGGGTGATGTGCAGTGAGTGTGTGATGAAGGGAGAGAGAGAGAGAGAGAGAGAGAGAGAGAGAGAGGGGGGGGAGGCGTGCGGTCCCACACACAGACGCGCGGACAAACAATAAAAATATCAGTTTAGCAGCGACCGTTAATGCTGTCTTTACTGTGAAGCTAAATGAGCATCCAAAAAAGTGTGTGACGAGCTGACCAGTCAACAGAGAGGGTCGCGTGCGGCTGTGCTTTACACTGAAGGACAAAACACACACATACACACAAACGCGCGCGCATGCACGCCGGTATTCTGTGCAGGCAATCTGAGTGACCGCCTAAAGTGGGTGACGTCACCACAGGGCCACCAAGCGCATCCTGATCAACACAGCTGGAATTGAATGAATCTGGACTGATAGAAAAAATGGTTATCGCTGAAGATTAATGGCACTCCAGCATTTGATATCTCTCACATCATATGGATAATTTGGATTCATCTGTCTCTGACATAATAAATATAATCTTACTTATGGGTAAATACCACAGGGTAAGGTGGAGGAAGATGACCCCTGCAGAACAAAGTCTTTTACTTTAAATAAATTAAAAAATACAATTAAAAAAAAAAAATGATATGACTTTTATTTTTAAAATCCAACCACCACCCTTAGTGGAGATCTTTCCCCTTTTCCTCTCTCTTTTATTTCTCATTTGCAATGTTATTTATTCTTTCTTTCATTCCTTTTTACTTTTTGCATTTAGAAATGAAGTTTGGTGTAAGAAGGTGGTGATTACATAATACACAACCAATACACAAACAAACAGCATTACTATATCATCACAAAAACAAAAAAACAGACAAAAACTAAACAATGTACAGTACAGGCCAAAAGTTTGGACACACCTTCTCATTCAATGCGTTTTCTTTATTTTCATGACTATTTACATTGTAGATTCTCACTGAAGGCATCAAAACTATGAATGAACACACGTGGAGTTATGTACTTAACAAAAAAAGGTGAAATAACTGAAAACATGTTTTATATTCTAGTTTCTTCAAAATAGCCACCCTTTGCTCTGATTACTGCTTTGCACACTCTTGGTATTCTCTCCATGAGCTTCAAGAGGTAGTCACCTGAAATGGTTTTCCATCAGTCTTGAAGGAGTTCCCAGAGGTGTTTAGCACTTGTTGGCCCCTTTGCCTTCACTCTGCGGTCCAGCTCACCCCAAACCATCTTGATTGGGTTCAGGTCCGGTGACTGTGGAGGCCAGGTCATCTGCCGCAGCACTCCATCACTCTCCTTCTTGGTCAAATAGCCCTTACACAGCCTGGAGGTGTGTTTGGGGTCATTGTCCTGTTGAAAAATAAATGATCGTCCCACTAAACGCAAACCGGATGGGATGGCATGTCGCTGCAGGATGCTGTGGTAGCCATGCTGGTTCAGTGTGCCTTCAATTTTGAATAAATCCCCAACAGTGTCACCAGCAAAACACCCCCACACCATCACACCTCCTCCTCCATGCTTCACAGTGGGAACCAGGCATGTGGAATCCATCCGTTCACCTTTTCTGCGTCTCACAAAGACACGGTGGTTGGAACCAGAGATCTCAAATTTGGACTCATCAGACCAAAGCACAGATTTCCACTGGTCTAATGTCCATTCCTTGTGTTTCTTGGCCCAAACAAATCTCTTCTGCTTGTTGCCTCTCCTTAGCAGTGGTTTCCTAGCAGCTATTTGACCATGAAGGCCTGATTGGCGCAGTCTCCTCTTAACAGTTGTTCTAGAGATGGGTCTGCTGCTAGAACTCTGTGTGGCATTCATCTGGTCTCTGATCTGAGCTGCTGTTAACTTGCCATTTCTGAGGCTGGTGACTCGGATGAACTTATCCTCAGAAGCAGAGGTGACTCTTGGTCTTCCTTTCCTGGGTCGGTCCTCATGTGTGCCAGTTTCGTTGTAGCGCTTGATGGTTTTTGCGACTCCACTTGGGGACACATTTAAAGTTTTTGCAATTTTCCGGACTGACTGACCTTCATTTCTTAAAGTAATGATGGCCACTCGTTTTTCTTTAGTTGGCTGATTGGTTCTTGCCATAATATGAATTTTAACAGTTGTCCAATAGGGCTGTCGGCTGTGTATTAACCTGACTTCTGCACAACACAACTGATGGTCCCAACCCCATTGATAAAGCAAGAAATTCCACTAATTAACCCTGATAAGGCACACCTGTGAAGTGGAAACCATTTCAGGTGACTACCTCTTGAAGCTCATGGAGAGAATGCCAAGAGTGTGCAAAGCAGTAATCAGAGCAAAGGGTGGCTATTTTGAAGAAACTAGAATATAAAACATGTTTTCAGTTATTTCACCTTTTTTTGTTAAGTACATAACTCCACTTGTGTTCATTCATAGTTTTGATGCTTTCAGTGAGAATCTACAATGTAAATAGTCATGAAAATAAAGAAAACACATTGAATGAGAAGGTGTGTCCAAACTTTTGGCCTGTACTGTATATTAACGCTCTTTGTGGCTCATCGTGTTCATCTTGTAGCCCAGCATCTCTAGGATCACTGTTGCTGTGGTGTATATCAGCTGGTTCGTCTCAGTTATGGTCCTAGTGGGGACAGTATGTAGTATTACATTCACACCATCTAGCAGACTTTAAGAGGGTACTTTGTCACTTGTACTAGTGGAACAAAACATAAATGGACTAGAGATATGTATCACAGCATTTTATGTACAACTTAATATATCAGTATTTGTCAGTGAATAAAAGATAAAGAATGCAGCAGCTCAGATGAAATGTCACTGTTTACTGTAGCATAGCCATTAACCACAAGTCTTCAGAGTTGACTTAGTGCCATATATTGGTTAGGAGAGTAATTAAGGGGGTGGGGGCATCTTACCCCATCTGACCCTATTTATTGTCCCAAGCAGAGGAATAGTAAGCCCTCCTGTAGCTGCTTTATAAATGACTTCAAGCAGTTTTTCTCGTCACTATAGCAGGACTTCAAGACATCTATTGTGTTGATTTTCACACTATCGCACAAAACTTGTTTTGAATTATGGTCCTTGCTTTGGATCTCAATTTCTTTGCTCCAGTTTGTCAAATTTTGTATGCCTGGTATTTTAATTTATTAAACTATTCTTTATAATTCCTATTTATTTATATACAAATGTCCCCCTAGTCTATTTTATTTATTTTTCTTTGTCTTCATCAAGGTTGACTATCATTTTGCTCTGTATTTGTAGAGATTTCACACCCTGCATGACATGTAGCATGTTAAATTCAATTAAATGTTCAATTGAAAAAAAAATAAATAAAGAAGAATGAATTTGAATGACAGCTGTCTTTCTTTTGTTCTATCCTATTCTATCAATCAATTTTACATAGCCTAATTATTTTAGAAAACATTTTACATTATACCACTGGTCAGATGTGTCTTTTCCCTGCTAAATAAAGGACAGAAGAAAATATAAAAAGGGCATCTTTTAGCATGTAGTTTGGTGCTGCGCTCACATTTTTTTTGGTGTGTATGTGCGGCTGTGGTTGTGACTCACACTATCTCTATCACAGAGTCGTGACTGAGGGGGGATTTGACTTGGCAAAGACTGCCTCTGTCACCACACTACACAGTCAGCAGTGATGCTGAGAGACACAGAGCGCATGTACGGACGAATATAGCCAAATGCAGGTAGGAGCTAGAACGAGGGAGAGTGAGGCACAGAAACAGAGAGAGGCAGACAGAGATAAATGGAGCCAAGTAGGGAGGTGTTGAACTGACAGCTCCACCTTCTGTTCATCCACGCCTTCACTGCCCTATGTGACGCTCTAATTGCATTTCACACAACCACACACACTCACATCCTGAACACCAGAGAACCAAAGACTTAGTGTTTTGAAAATGCTGCTTTAATAAAATAGAATATTAATATATAATTCATTGCTATCATTATTGCACAGTACAAACGGTAAGGAATATATTTTTCCCTTATCTCAATGGCAGATCACCCAAACAGACTTTCTATGCTTCTTCTTCTCTCCTTCTTTCTGTTCTCCCATGTAGTAAAATTGAAATGAGGAGGTAATGGAGGAGGAAGACAGTGAGGAGTCAGAGAAAGAGCACAAAGAGTAGGAGGTAGGCGTCATGGATCATTTAGAGTCCTGGTCCATATCGGGGTCTAAAGGGAAAACAGCAGAAGTAATTTAATGCATATTTGGGAACATATTTATTTTCCTTTTGTCGCTGTACATATTTTAATGAGTCTGTGCAGTGAAAATGTCTATTAATCAGCTGTAGTGCTACAGAGCTGAAACATCATGTTCCAGAGGTAAAAATACAATTCATAATCCCCATAAGGAACTGGATTATCAAACAAAACGTATTATCCATACAAAATGCATGAAGCTACATGTGATTGTGATTTCTTTATGTTTTTTTTGTCGTGCATCTCTACTGAAAAACTAGCCTATATTCTGCACTAATCTAAAAGCGAGTTAATCAAGCAGATTGGTTATGTTGCCATGGTGATCTAGAAATGGCTCATCGTGAGAGCCAGATCGATTCTGGATTTTTGGGGCCAATACATATCAACAGTGAGAGTTTACAAAATCAGGTAAGAATATATCCTCTGATAATCTTTTTTGAACACTTTTGGTGAGGATCCCCTACATTTTGTTATCGAAGAGCTGGCAGTGCTCTCTGTCAACACCATTTATGATTTTCTAAAGCATATCTATAGTATTTCTGTACAACAATTTCTTGTTATTTATTGTTCAATAATAATAAATCTGTGCTAGTTTATTATCACTTGGGCACTACTTGTTATGGCTGCTAAGAAGTTCATCTTGTCAGCATAGATACTGTATCTAAAAACAAAAAACAAATCTGCATTACAACTGTTTTATACTTGTCTATTAAATTAATCATCACCTCATAAACACTTGCTGATTGGTTCAGTTCAAAGCTTTAAGTACATTTCAGAGGATTATCTGGATTGTCTCTAAAGCAAATAAAAGGGGCTCTATACACCGAACCTCTCTCTTCACTGCATCTCTCTCTCTCACCGTTGAAGGTGAACTGAGGGAAGCTGCTCAGGTCTCCTCCGCCATAAAGTCTCTGGAGCTTTGCGGTCTCCTCTGACAGGTATTTTTCGTAATCTGGCTCCGCCTCCAGCAGTCCTCCATTCAACCTTAGAGAGGAAGAGGAGAGTATATTGAAAATGAGAGACAC